TATATGTAAAAGTGACCAAAAACATAAATTTATTTCCCCTACCCCCATCTTAAATAGTTTAAAATGGGGTATTTTAGGTCAAAAATTCAAAGTGCTGTAAAAAAAGTTGCCCAAGCCTAGGCATGGGGATTTTTTTCTGAGACACTATAGGGTATGCTGATTCAGAAAAACCAAAAATTAATTTTCCTTTACTTTTTTCCCGCTAAAATTCATTTCAGCATTTTTACAACCAGACTAAGTTACAATGTACACTCCACAGTTGATCCGTTTTAAGTAAAACTCGCATATTGTTCAAAGATTCGTACAGATATGTACCCAGTTAAATACACATTAGGTATGATCGACATAAATTTAGATATGCACATAGCGCTAAATAAAATGCCGGTATATTATAGAAATTTACTTCTTATTTGCACACGATTTAATCATATGCAAGCTAAACAGCCACAATGCATCTGTGAAATAAAACAAAAAATTCCAATCATACACGGCCGCGAATTGATATCCATTCGTTTAAACATTCTACAAAATATATTACAAAAAGCATGTAATACATGCTAATAATATTACTAGTGTAATCCCCGATCTAAGTTTCAAAGTGGGAGAAGAAACAATTGCTGGAATAGCTAACAACATGATGTTCACCCTCTGCAGAAGCAAAGTCTTTATAGGGACAAAATCCTGAATACATTCCAAAACTATCCGTTCACCAGCCGTCGCACGACGTGGAAGTTATAATACAGCCTTTATCAAGACCAGCCAAATAGAGCTAGATAATGAAAAATGTTAGCTTTGAAATATTTCACCCGAGTTTTCTTTCTAATTTTGCTGGATTATTTTGTATTCGAATGCGATAATTACTGTGCCGGGCAAGGTTAGTCTATATTATGTCTTTTTTAGCCGTGATTGTTTTTGAATGATCACTTCATTTTAAATTTCAATTTAATAATTCAGCATTTTAAAGAGGCCAAAAAGGAAAGGTTAAGTCTGAACTACGTATTCATTAAAAAAATTAAAGATGTTTATAAATTATGTTACTATGTTACTGATATTTATTTTACAAAGCAAATACAGTATCACTAATACAAATTTAAAATTAAAGCACTCAGTAGATATAAATCAAATAAATCGCTAGATTGTAGGAATAGCTATACATATTACGATTATTAGCACTATTGTTTATAGTTTAGTTTAATAACAACAACAATAACAACAAAAATAATTAGCTTTACAGGGCCATCGGAACCGCACCGGCAGCACCGGCTTTGATCGGACCACTTTTTCTCAATTATAATTACTTTCTTGATAAAAATTGATACATATAAATTATTTATTATAATTCAAATAAACATTATTGCAATTTGAAATATATACATAAAATACATGACTAATTAAACTTAACATAACTAATTAAATATTCATCATATAGCTATTGTTTCTGCCTACGGTAATACGGTAAACTTATTCTTTAAATGCTCCTCATATCCACACCATACTTCAGATCTTGACCAAAATTGACACTTTTTTAATTTAAACATGACAAACTATTCTGCCAATTGTCATTTTTATCCATTTATCTTTTTTTTTTTGAGATATTTAGGTCTGGGACCTTTTCCCCTCAAATGCACACCTACACTTCATAATTTCTTCCTTGTACCTTGGTTAAGCTTTCATGAAAGTTTCATTCATATTAGTTGATTAGTTTTTGAAATAGCTGGTTTAGGATGTATTCCTTTTTTTCCTTACATGCAGTTTTTCCTTACATGCAGTACCCGGAACTAAAAACAGTTCCGAAATGTTATTACGTAATGGACGGAACTCGGTGGCGGTTTAACAAAGTTCTGGAGGCCCTAGTTCGAGAGTAATCCGGGAGCCCTTGGCAGTTATAAATTGGCCGACCAGGCTAAACTGTATACATTTAACAAATATTACTCTTTTAGTGAAGAGTATAATCTAAGAAGTATACACTCTTAAAAAAAAATTGTGCGGATTGATATTGTTACTAAAAATAGAACAGCGAAAATGTGAGCGTTACGGACGGACAAGATAGAATTCGCCGTTTCTAATTTTTACAACTTAGCAGAAATTTCTATCTAGGGAAGTGAGAGCTGACAAAAAATTTTCATTGCTAAATTAAGTTATTTTACTTGTCTATTAATGAGACTTAGTTTGGTCACTAAATACTTTCTTGTCTTTGAGTTATTAACGAAAAGAAAATATTACGGACGGATATTTGTGTTGCGTTACGGACGGACACTTTTGCAACAAACATCCTAATGATAAATATTAATGATAAAATTAGATTTTTATAATGATAACTGACTTTTCTTAAATTTAGGATTATAGCAGCCGCTCTAATGATGATTGTTTGTAAAATATTTTATGTTCAAGCAATTGTACAGTACATAAACTGACATTCGTCATAACCTACACTAGGCCCTATATAATTGCAATACTTTTAGAGAAAATAAGTTATTAAACCTAATAATATCTAGAATTAATTAAACTTGACATTTTTCATAATAATTTGATTAAATTGCTACCTTTGAAAAAATGATATTGGGATGTAATAATTGATCAATTGTTAAATTGAAAGTGTAGTTTGATATGACCCATGGTAGCACAGATATCTGTCTGTAACATTAGTAGCTTTAATTGAAATTTTATGTCAAGAACAATTGTACTATACATCTACATTTATAAATGTCCAAGAAGTTCAGCATGAATGGTAAAAATGTTGTAAATTTGAAGCATATGAAGGAACATTACGCCCAAGTGCGTTACGGACGGACATTTACCCTGTGGTTACATTACTAAATGAATATTTCCACCAATTTACTGATAAATTTTATGAGAAAAAATTAGCTAAACATAAACATATTCAGTATAATTCATTTCAAAATTGTATAACATAAATTGGCTAATCAAAATGTATTTTATGTAGCATGTCCGTCCGTAACATATCCGTCCGTAACAACATTTATTACGGACGGACACATTTTTAATTTAATCTGTAATTAAAATTTGAACGTCAACAAAATTTTTATTAAGTTATTTTGTAATTATTAATGTAGTAGAGATAGGTTAATATGGTTTTTTTAATTGTAATCTATTATATAGAAGCATGAAATAACATTTAAGTTAATTTGCGTTACGGACGGACGTCTGAATTTTGGACTACAGCTAATTAGGTATTTTTTAAAAATTGCGAGCAGCAATATACTAATTTTTCATGTATATTCATTAAGACATGTTTCACCCTTACACTTACCAGTAATCAAAGAATCTGAAAGATTTAAGGTTTTTTATATAAAAGATATATTTTTCAATTAAAATGTCCGTCCGTAACATTCATATTATATACCTCCTATATAAAAAGTGGTATGATCCTAGAATGCGGAGTTAAAATTTCATGACTTTTGTTTTGTTCCAGTAACTACAGATACCAACCATTCATATTATAAAAATTGTATTAAGTTTAAGTCAAAAATGATTTTTGACATTATTGCAACACCTAAATTGATTATACTCTGAAATAATCCATAGTATAGTACCGGTATCTCTGAATCTTGGTTTCTGGGCCGGAATATTGGTTACAGTATGTATTATTATGCAGATTCAGAGAGTAATACATAGACAATAGTATAGGCTATACATCGAACTTTTACTATATTAATCTATAATAGAACTATTATCACCGGAGTATCACCGGATACTCTTCCAGTATCTCTGAGTCTGGGGCCTAATGAGTGCTGAGTTAAAACTGCCGGTACTGTACATAAAAACAACGGTCATTTAAAAGGAAAGAAACCTATAGGATTATATTTAGTGTGTGCAATGATAAAAATTAACATCACCGAAAAAAAAAGAAAACCAAAATAACCACAAAAAAACCACATAGTTTCGTGCTTTGTGACCAAATGTTCGCAGCAGACCAAAGTTCTCTCCTATGGCGGACTTGGTCGCGGATGTGAGTGAGTGTGGACAATGTTCATGAGTGACCTTCCCATAATAGGAAGATTTTTTTTAAAGAGATGACCTTACAGGACATCCTATTCATACCGGTATGACTTGAGAAAACATTAGGCCTATAAAAACAGGCCTATTCATAAAAGAAGTGCCTATATACGGTACCTAATGCTATAGAATGGACCAAGAAAATCACACGGGCTATGCTACATTTGGACAAAGAAGCCAGAACCATGATTCAAAATAATTACCAAATCACAATTCGATCATTAAATAATTTGAATAAGACAATGTATTGCGAAAGTAATTTTTTTTCTAAATGTCTTATCAATGCCATAACTATAGATGAAATGAGATGGTTACTGTATTCCTCCAAATATAGATGGATCATCCTCAATAAATATGGTTCAAATAAAATAAATAAAGTGCAAGAAACACAGCAAAAAATACAGTAATACAATATGAATAACAATTATTTTCCTTATTATTATTATTATTATTATTATTATTATTATTATTATTATTATTATTATTATTTTTATTATTATTATTATTATTATTATTATTATTATTATTATTATTATTATTATTATTATTATTATATATTTACACGTGTTGATGCCAGGTGAAATATAATAAAAGATTTTGGAAGGGGAACGTACCACCCACCCCCACCGCTTTGTCACTGCCATTTTTTATTGTTTTTTAAAGCAAAAAATACAAAATGGAATACAAAAACAAAATGTAACAATATTTTGTAACACAGCATAAATGAAAACGTTCATGAAAAATATTAAAAAAGAACACGTATTTCCGGATATCGATGCATTGCCACGCTCCCACAAAGTACAATGCATCATCTCATGGACTTATTGATTATCCTTTGAAATAGACATACAAGTGAATAAATCAGAGTTTGGAATAAGAGACTACTAGTAGTACGTCCTGAGGCATATATTATTAACTATTAATATTAATTTTACGCTCTATATGAGATATACTATTACTAAAATTGTATCATGGTTAAGTGCGAAATTTGCTTCTGTGGGTGGACTCGTTAAATTATTCAGTCAATTCTTAATTGGTTTATATAGGTAATACCTCTATGGACAGATTTACCAGGTGATAAAGGTGTACGTATAGAGCAATAAACTTTCCTTATACAATCAGTGGCGTGTTTTTAATAATTATTTAGTCTTAATCTGGTCTTAATTCAAGATGGACTTTTGAAGGAGTAGCATAATATTGAATGTTGCTACGTAGCTATAAATTAGTAGAAAGACCTTTAAAAATGAAGGAAAAATTTTCTATTAACAATTGTGATCCAGTGATATTTTAATGTTATACAAGTAATTAAATAAACATTAAAATTTGGAATGTATATGCTAAAATGTTGTGATAGATGTATAAAATCTTTATTCGTCATTTATTATTTATAGGCCTTATTCTATTATTTTGTGAATATACGTTTATGTGTCAGCAACTTCTTCTTATTAGTCGGAACTTCTAGTTATTAGGCCTATATAAAAATAAATTTTATAGTAATTTTACTCCTTACAATAAAGGCCTAATGATAAACATATGCCTAAACATAAATATACAAATAACTATAATAATAAATAATATTACAATTATTATTATTATTATTATTATTATTATTATTATTATTATCGACTATTATTATAATTGATAATAATACTAATAATATAAATAAAAATAATTATAACAACAAGAACAACAGCAACAAGAACAAGAACAAAAACAACAAGAACAACAACAACAACAACAATAATAATAATAATAATAATAATAATAATAATAATAATAATAATAATAATAATAATAATAATACTCACTCATTCATAAAAAAAAATACTTGTTTTATTCAATCTTCTAGTAAATTATCGAGACGATCATAGGTGCGGAGCCGGTTTTCCTGCACCTGACGGTGAAGATGCAATTTGTCTACGTGCGTGTTGTTCTCCGTGGCATTGGTGTGGGCTAACTGATGATTACTGTTGTAGCAATTGCGTAGATTACCGTCAAGTGAATCCAACAGAGTCATGCACAAGGACAGCATTATCTACGTTATGCCTACCACCTGGAGGTAAGACAGTGTGTACTGGATGAAGACAGAAATATAGTAAATATTCTAATAGGGGCATGGGATTGAGAATATATAAGGTAACAACGAAAAGGGAATTACAAGTACAAAATCAGAAACCTGACCCCAAAATTCGGACCAACCGCTGTATATGGAAAAATTCAATGTAAATGTACACACACACACCCACACCCACCCACACACCCACACCCATCCACACACCCACACCCACACACCAACATTCTTAAGAACCAAGAAAGAAGTGTATTTGAGTTCAGAAGCAGGACTAGCAAAACGTTTTTATCCGTAGGTCAATAGTAATTTCCCTTTGGAATATGGTTTTCATTCAGTAACAAGTGAAACATAATAGTACAATGCACCCTCCAATTCGAGACCCCTCTAATTCAAGACCACTTTTCAAAGATCGAACCAAATAACAATCGTCAATATTTTAACACAAAGCTACTGTATTTGAGAACGAACCCCGAGACCACCACAAATTTTCAAGTCCCAGAGTGGTATCAAATTCAATTCAATTCAATTCAAAATAAATTTATTCAAAATCTTTTCTTTAGCATAGATAAACAGTACAGATATAAAACCACAAACAAGCAGAGCTTTACACTAGTGCGTGGCGCCCGAAAAAAAGTAATTAAGATACTATTTCAAATTGACAAAGTAAGGCAAGGTATACATTTTAATTAAAGCTCTTTCATATCATAGATCAAGATAATAATAATAATAATAATAATAATAATAATAATAATAATAATAATAATAATAATAATAATAATAATAATACTTGGAGGGTGAATTGTAGTAATAATACTGATAATAATATTATATACCTAATAATGATTATGATAATGATTACAATAGAGAATAATAAAAAATATAATATGCAAAATTGCCGTTTAGAATAATGAACCAACTAAAAATGTCGAACTATGTGAAATATTGTGCATAAAGGCTAACGCAAGAAAATAAGCGTCATCTATTAATTATTACGAAAGCATAGGATGACCTCATCGTATATTCTAAAGTACATTATTATTATTATATTTAATGGACATTAGCTAATTATTTTAATTTACTAATGTCTTTTTGAAAGGATTGACAGTCAAATTATTATGATTACTTAAATACAACTGAGACGTGGTTAGGGTTAAATTTATGTCGTCATGTCGTTTGCGAATATTCGATTATTTTTTCATAATTATTATGATAACAATAAATTGTGTTGATGGAATATAATATTAACAGTCGACATTTAACTATCCATTAATTTTTAGCATAATTGAGATTTGAAATACGTTATTGTAATATAAGGGACATGAAGTTTAAGTCTTGACAGTTCCTTACACACCTCCCCCCCCCCCACCTCACCAACATTTTAGCAAATTAGTTCTACTAAGTGAGTTAAAATATTAAAAATGAACATTAAATGTTCATAGTAATAGGTAGTTAGTTCTGCATTCTCAATTTATGCACCCAATCCCCACACCCCACACCCCCCACCTTATTCTCAATTTTGGCTGCTCAGTTCTTTGCTGCTTCCGCATGACAGACCCACATTCAGAGAGAGCCACTTAAAATGTGTTTAAATCTTTTGTTCGTTACAGAACAATCTGAACCAGTGGGCCTAACTTCCGCGGTCTACAACAAACTTATTGGCAAGTGTTTGGCAGAGTCAAGTGGATCAGAAATGCAAATTTCTACAAGAAGTAGCAACCGATGCGCACGCGCTTGTCTCGCATATAATTCCAAGTGTAATGCCTTCGGGTTCGATCAGCGATTTTCAAAGAATTTCGATTGTTTCCTATACAATACTACCGATACGTCTTGGAAGCTAGAGGACGTAGGGATTATTGCCAGCAATGATGGACCGAAGTGCTCTTTCTATGTCAAGTCCTATAAATGATGACAATAAGTTTAATAATGAATTAATTATCACTAGTTGGTGTTATCAGCGCGTATCCAAATTTGCATATGTGTAGCAATTACAACACACACACACCCACACCTGTCTCTTATACACATCTAGATGTGTATAAGAGACAGCAAACAAGCAGAGCTTTACACTAGTGCGTGGCGCCCGAAAAAAAGTAATTAAGATACTATTTCAAATTGACAAAGTAAGCAATGTGTATATATATATATCAATTTTATTTAATTTTATATAAATTAAAATCAATTATACAATGTCTTTATATATACATATATGTATATATATATATATATATATATCGATTTTAAAATGTAAAAATAATAAATTCTTATATCTTTAGACGGAAATTTTATATTCAGTACATTCTTGACTAATTTAAAAATGTAGACATTTTCAATCTATTTATTATTGTAGAAATTAGTTTAGTTATCGATACTTAAACGAAGACAGACAAAAGAGGGAAATGCGTGATGAAATAAATTAAATACAATAATAGATAAAGCATATTCGCATAGATCCTAATGCGATACTTTTTTTTTTTACATTTTTAGCGAATCCCCCGATCGCCCATAATAATGATTTCGAATAAAAATACAATTATATTTTTGGCCATTTAGCGCATCCTCCCCCACGAAAAAAAATGGAAATTTCAGAAAAAAGAAAGTTTCATTTATTTATATTAAGACTTCAGCTCCCCCCAAATTGTTTTTCTTAATTAACCTAAAGCATTTATCGATCTCTGTTTACACTGTGCTATAGTGCTATTAAAATATATGAACAAAGATTATTTTGTTAATCTATTTTTAATTGGTATTTGAATTCTGCACTGTGACATCAGTGGATATTGTTTATACTGTAATGAGATTACGTTCGGCTTTTTTTTAGTATACAGTACGTCAACAAGAATATAGATATAGTGCGTAAGTAATAACTTGAACATAAAATATATGCCTACTTGAGTGTCCTTGATTTTGTTTTTGTTTAATGTGTAATGTGAAGGTTGTTGTGGTGCATATGCCTATCGTTAGGCCTATATGATGATTTAGAATAATCAGTAAATCTAAAAGTGTAATTCAATTCATCTCATCGTTGTTTCCATTGTTTAATTGCAGGTACAGTCCACCCTCCAATTCGAGACCACTTTGAAGACCAGAAATTTGGGGTGGTCTATGTTTAAATTTGTTCTACTACTTATATATTCAAACTTTTATTCAAAAATTGTAGAAAGTTGTACAATTTCTGTTAAAGTCCTGCATGTACATGTATGAAACTTTTTAAAAACACGTTAAAAAACTGAACAGTATACCGTAAATATAATCGTTTACTTGACTTTTGTGCAATTTCAAACATAACAACCTTCCTAACTCATTGCGGTTTTTTATGCTTCGCTAACGCTTCCTTACCCTCTATTTTGTAAAGGTCTCTATTTGTTTCGATTGTCTATTTGTCTAAATGGTCACAAGCCCGTAACCAGGGCCAGAGGGGTTTGTCCATTGATTGTCCATGGGCGCAGATCATGGGGGCAGGAGACACGTCCCCTGCACATTTTTAAGGGGTGGTCCCCTCACTTTTCGTCCGCAATGCAATTTCCTAAGTTAAGAAGATGCCTGAAAATTGTTGAAATAAACTGCATAAATGACCCAGGTTTTAACGAAAGAGGCTGTAAAGCCAGAGTACATCTTATTTTATAGCAACACAGTGGCGGATCTAGGGGTGGGGGGGTGCAGGTGGTTCGGACGAACCCCCCTCTGTGAAGAAACGTAAAAAAATACTACTGGGTCCTGGCTTACAAAAGGCATACTAACCTACCTTGGCATAGGTTGGCAGATCAGACGAATTAGGCTTAGTCCAACTAGTCTTCAATTAAATAAATTATACGCACTTTTTTTGTTCGACATCGTCATAATTTATGTACGAAAGTGGGTTCTTCAGGCCTATCTTTTCATCGATCCATAGAAGAAAGACTCGTATCTAACTAATCAATATTGTTGGCATCAACGGCGGCGGAAGCAAGGGAGCCAGGGGGCCACCCACTTTTTCTACTGGTGTGGGGGGGGGGGCTACCCCCGCCTGTTCCCAGCACCAGTGACAAACGTTTTACGAACGCTGCAATGTCATCATTATTATTATTATTATTATTATTATTATTATTATTATTATTATTATTATTATTATTATTATTATTATTATTATTATTATTATTATTATTATTATTATTATTATTATTTCATACTTACACCTTGTTTATTTGCGCCTTATATATTGACCTATTATTATTATTATTATTATTATAAAATATAGATTTTTTTTAAATTTTCTAACGAACATTACCTCATTTTCTTACCCCAGCCCTAACAGTTGTTGGCCATTCGGGTGGACATTCTATTTACGCAAGACCCTCCCCGGAACCCCTCTATTTCGACTTCACAGTTGGAGTATCATTTCTGGGCTACATAGAAGGGTAATTTTTATCCATCAGGGGAAAAGTGAAGTTTTCGTCGGGGAACACATATCAAGGATAACCCTCATAAGAAATATTTCATTGAGGTCTTGGAAGTAATCTCGACTTCGACTTTGGTCGGAAATCTGTGGCGCGTTCAAGGGGAGGGGGAGGCTAAATTGTTCAATTTTTGTTTTGATGGAGATAAAGGAAAATTATATTCAAATTTTACGTCTGAGTGTAATTTCCGGCCATCTAGAGGTGCCATAATCATCTACCGATTCTTCATCTGCTGAAGTAGCCAGTGGCGTATTTAAGGGAACCCGGCCCGCCCCCACCCTCCTAAATTGTTCAATAAAAAATGGAGATATAAAGATAATTATATTCATATTTTAAGTCTGGAAGTGCAATTTCCGGCCATCTAGAGGTGCCATAATCACAATTTTTTTTACCTCAGCCCCAACCATGGTGGGGGCTGAGGTAGTATAGATCTTCTACCTGTGAAAGCACCCTCCCTGGGCCCTTCTATTTCGAACTTCTGAAAATTACAACAAATATGAAGTTATATTACAGTAGCTTGATGCCTATAAAATAACATATAAAATTCACCAAACTTGGTAAAATATCCGTAGCTTCCAGGGGGCTTTGCCCCCTGGACTCTACTGGGGGCTGGGGCTCTACTGGGGGACTCTACTTTCAAAAACGTTCCGCCGGCGTTGGTTGAAATATAATAATATATTGCCTATGTCTTCGATTTTTTTTCTCTATGTATAGGCCTAAAGAATAGGATAAAATTACCTGACCCTTTTCAAGAGGGGGAAACCTTGAATTTTGAAGAACTTAAAGGTCATTAAAAGACTCCTCAGAAGTCGGGAAAGCTCATTTCCGGCCATCCAGGTATCCAAATTTTCCCGAGGGAGGACCCCCCGGCCAACCGTCGTTTTGGGTTTTGGAAACATTTCGAACCCCCCTTTTTCAAATATCCGCCCCTGCAACATACCGGTATCTTTCCCCACAAGCATCTGAATTAGCTATATACACGACTCGAGTGCTCGTGCCTTTGTTATAATTTGAGTTGAGAAGAAGCGTGCAAAGATAAGATTGGTTTTCGGCACATGGAGTGAGGTAAAGTAAAGTAAATACATCAAAGACAATTAGGTTTTTTTTTCATGGTATATCACAGCGATTAATTAGATCGATGATGAATGTTACTATATAAAATTAAGAGTGTCATATCCGGCATATCTAGAGGTACTATTTCCCCAAATTGTATCACCTCAGCCCCAACTATGGTGGGCTGAGATGGGTGTGGACTCACGGTTTTGAAGTAGGTAAAGTAAATAATCAAAGACAATGTTTTCAAGTTTTATTTTCTAAAGAACCGTACATTCAACATATTATTTAGATCTCTGGTCGCCAAAAATAGCTGATAAAAGATCATGAGAATTTGTTGGCGCTTCATTTTGACTATAATACAATGGTGATGTGATGATGAATTTTACTATTTAGAAGTGTCATTTCCGGCCATCTAGGGGTAGCGTTTTGACACTTTTTTTTTTAATGTCAGTGCATATTAACGTTATGTATTGAAATAAGAAAAAAATAGAATACAAATGCCCCTCCCCCTGGCTGAAAAATCTGGATCCGCCTATATTCAATGAGACTAATTAAAAAATGGTTTACGTTCTACTATGACAAATGCTCGTTGGGATATCCCCATGATGCTTATTCTACATCTTGATCGGGGAAGCAATTTCGTGGTTTACAGATTTCAGGCAAAATTTCCAAAATTTAGAACTTCACTTTGAATTATAAGCTCGTACTGTGACCTTACCCCGGTGACATTGTGTTCTTAATTTATCGAAGTAAAATGTCAAAAATTGTTGGCCTTACAATTTACAGTATGGACATTATTCTTATTCGTAATTTTGTTGTTAATAATTCACAATCACATAGATTATGAAAAAATTGGATTTTGCCATTATGGGAGAATAGTATTGTAATGTAATAGGGTGTTTTTTTTATATATATATATATAAAATGGAAAACGGATTTAAAAATAAGTTGGTTACATTGCATACTCTTTGTTTCTCGTTGTTTTATAAAAAAAAAATTGCGGTTTTAGAAGTTAATTTCGGCATTAAAAAACATACATGAAGTCATATTACGGTAGCTTGATGCCTATCAAACTAAGATGTATTAAGGGGTTGTTCAACCTGTCTCTTATACACATCTTATATATGTATTTTGAAAATGGTCTCGAATTCAGGAGGGCGAACTGTGTATTTTTGACAAAAAGAAATCATCTCAAATATGCATACCTGAAGGCAACTATATGTTAATAAGGTTTTATGGAAAGAGGGGGAATTATAGAAATATATATAGGCGTAGTTTATTTACAAATAGGCCTTTATTTATATTATCGTCTTGTTAACATAATCATTATTCAAACGGCTGACGAAGATGACGAGATGTCATCGAAAGCTTCCAGAAACTAAACTACCACTCTGAAAGGTAACTTACACTCTTTTTTTTTTATTATCATCACAGAGTTAGAGAACTTCCATGCGATTATAATCATTATTATTGCTCAAATGTCAAAATCAAATGTCTTGTCAATCGAAAAACAACCGATCTCTTGAGAAATATATGAGTAGTGGTCCTGGAGCCAGTCCGTGCGTTTTGGAGCTATTTTCATTTTTTCATTTAGCCAAACATCATCTTGGCAACAAGAAGCTACATAAAAGTGTCGCTGTACTGTCAGTCGTGGTAGCTTCGTAATAAAAATGATATCGAACAAAACATTCATGAAAGAAAACATGCTGCAAATATTAGTTATTGAAAATTCGAAAGGTTTGTCATTACAAACAATTACATTTTCGTTCGTTTATCTTTGCCTGTTGTTTATTAGGCCTATGCCCGGGCAGGGGGCATGGGTATGATGATGGGCCAGGGCTTGCGTTGTTCAATTCCTGGCACTCTGGTCCATCCAGTAGTAGAAGTGGGTGTTAATTGCTAGCCAGGGCCTATTTCTAGGCTACATACTATTACTATACGGGTGTAGGACCGTTTCGGCCGCGATGTATGAAACACCTTTAGCATTAATCTTACAGAATGAGAGTCTAAAAGGGCAGAATACAATAATATATTTTATTTTCACTGCATTTAATTAATTATAGGCCTAATTGTATTAAATTAAAGTGCCTAGGCCTAGGTAGGCCCTAGGCCACAGTATGTGTAGACTAGGCAGGCTGGGGCCTATTCTAGCATAGGCTAGGCTAGCTAGTAGTAGTAGGAGAATGTAATGATACCTCAAATACCAGCTATAATTTGCACAGAAAATCGCTAGGAAAAATGGTGTGCAGAATTGTAATCACTGCATAATAATTCCTAGCCTGGCCTGGCCTGGCCTAAAAGTAAACTCATCCCCATAGGCCTATATATTAAAATAAAGATTAGGTCAACAAAGCTTTTAAAATTAAAATTTTCAGCAAAATCTGAGCGGAAATCGACCCTTATTTTCAGAAATGCGCAGACAAATTTATAGGCCAAAATGTTTGCGTGGAGGATGTATTCCCCACGCAGGCTTTACTATAGAGTCTGCCTTAGCCAAGGCCTAGTAGTAGTAGTAGGCCTACCTAGGCCTATGCTTTTTTAAGCATGGTCCAACTTTTTCTTTCTTTTCCCTTTTTTAGGTGATGCAAGTCAGTTAGTATGTATAGTTTAAGCTCAAGAAACATTAATAGAAAAAATGTCGGCTACTAAAGAGCATACACGAGTAGGCCTAGTTGTAGTTCCCAGTTTGGAACTGAGGAACAGAGAAACAAATACCTTGTCAACTCCAGGACAATATGTGATGCCTCCTGGAGACAAGGCTCTTGCATGGTCTTTGGAGACACGTCATCGGCTGGATGATTTCGTGAATAGAGGTGAAGAAGCAACAGACCTAGTCAACAATCTTTCACAAGAACTTATCAGTGTCTTCATTGCAACACTTCAGCAAGATAGGCAAGTCTAAATACAGTTAATATTTTAATTTCCTAAATTGTGATCTTATTATTTATTCTTATTGGTGTACTGTATGGTGTTTTAAATGCCACTTTGAACAGCTAATTTTGAATGAGTATTATTACAATTTATGTTGCAAATTATAACCTTACGCAAATTAAATAAAAATGCCATGAGTTTCTTACCCATGACACCGTATGGTTTATTTCTACTTTAAAAAATGTAGCTACTACCAATGGATGTATCTGAAAGAAGTTTTAATTCTGAGCAAGCCATATGCAGATTATTTACAAGGGAATACACAGGTATGTGTAACATTTTTGTACATGATTAATTTTTTTGAGTACATTATTCTGTATAAGTACATCTTTTCTTTTATGGTTTGATTTGAACAATACTTTCTAGAAAAAAAAACCAACACTTGTCGGGGGAAAACACAAATGTACGGTATTATTTGTTTAATAAAATAATATCTAATTTGTATAAAATGAAATTTTATCACTGAGAGAACAGATAATGATGTCAAAATATTGTATATACATGGAAGCTTCATGATCAAAAGTTCTTGCTAGAATTTGGTATGTTAGTCTCTGGCGCAGCTGGGCTGCTAGGCCGCGGCTTGGTGTTTGGAATCGTAAATAGACTGTTAAGTTAAAAGTTTGCAGACAGCTGTATTAAGGGGTTGTTCAACATCATATCAACATTTTCACAAGTGTACAAACAGTATGCTAGGGGAAGGGGGTAGACAACTTTGTACGCTTTTGCATGCATAAAAAATGTTAATGCAAAATGACATGCAATTTGTAAAATAATTTTAAAATTATAATGTAACCATGGATATAATATTCATTTTTAAGCAACCAAGTACATTGCTTTATATTGACGTCACAAGAAAATGGAGAATGGTTTTTGCAAAATCAACATTTTTTTGTACACTTTCAGTGGGGAGGGAGGGGGTACCGAAAATGAGTACTGTCTGTACACTTGTGTAAAATGTTGGTAATTGTGATGACCCCTAAAGGTGTCAACCGGCTACTGTAGTTCATGTGTATTTTTTATAATGATTGTTTATTGATAATTCAGTGGAGCTTGATTGTACTGTTTATTTGGATATTGTGCATTGTAGTCCAGCATGGAGGAATTAGTTTAAATTCCTCCATGAGTCTAGTATGTGATCATGGCTGTTGAGTGGAAATTGGGGTTGAGAGGTATTCTCTATATAATAATGCTATGGAATATTTCTTTCAGATTACCCACTCTATATAATAATGCTATGGAATATTTCTTTCAGATTACCCACTATATAGATCGAATCTGCTTTTATTTACAAAACCAAAAACATCGTCTTGGAGACCTGCAGCTTGAAGATGTCCTTGCAAGCATATTCCCAAAGGTATTGTATTGTAGAGTAAGGTGTGAGACTTTAACTTCATCATCACCTTCTAATCATAATGGGAATAATTTCTGTAAAATACCATAAAAATTATATTATGTGAGAGCAGCTTTTAGTCGGCTAAACTGGTGGTTCTTGTGTGAGCTTGACTGTGGAGATCTCTTGGTCCTTCGGTTTAATTCCCATCGCTGCTCTCCTTTTTTCAGCTAGATGCTTGAAAAGTTTCAAAAGCACAACATCTTTCAGATTCGATGTTTAAGCTGTTGTTAGCTCTTTGTGCAAAATGGCCCATGTGCATGCGAAAGAACGAAGTGCACTCTCTTACTCAAGAGCAAGATTGTCTCCCAGTGTACTGCCAAATCACCACCAGAAGGACCCACTGGAAATAAGTCTTCTTCAGACACTTTTGTGGGTTTTTCTTGGTGTTCACACCGAATTATTGAATCCATACACTATTAAACATTGATTTCTCTGACATTTTCTTCAAAAGGATGTCGCCATACACACACATTGGATGGGATTGGATTTATTTGGTGTAAACACCAAGGATAGCCCACAAAAGTTTAGAAGAAGTCTTATTTCCAGTGGAGTCCTTCTGGTGGTGATTGGACTGTACACCGGGAGACAATCCGCTACTCTTTTCCGAAGATTACTGCATTCTTTAACATGCACATGGGTCATAAATGCACAGCAGCTTAAATGTTTCTTCCGAAAAAAGTGTGCGCTATTGAAACTTGTATTTCAGCACTCCAGCTGAAAGACAAGGAGAGGCAGCGATGGGAATTGAACCGGGGACCTACAGTAGAGATCTCCACGGTCACAGAGGCTACCACCAGATTATCCGACTGCGCTAAGCTGCTCTCTCTCACAACAGAGCCATTATACATAATGTATGGCTATCTTGGATTTGGCCTGGCCTAGATACTGTACTCTCCTTACAAAAAAAAATATGGATTTATGTGTGTAGCCTTACAGCTCAAAAAAAAAAAAAAAAAATATGAGAGACTATTTTTTTTAACTGGCTTACAGTACATATTTTTTTCTTTACTGTACTTTAAAAAAAACACGAATACAAGGTGAAAATGTATGTAAAGTGATATGCATTTGTGTTTTGCTTACATCTGTCTAACAGAAGATGCTATTAACAACTAAAAGTTTTAGATTAGATATAATTCTATAACAAGATCTGGAAATATAATAATTACTTATAACGTTTTTCTTTATGATACTTGTAGGAGACCGAGAGAGCAGAGAAAAGTGGTGGCGATAGCCGTAATTATAGCAAGCCAACACCACCATCAGCACCAAAGGCATCAACACCCCGTAAACCCATTGTATCGATGCTCCTGCCAAATGGTTCAGATCCTTATGAGCTTGCTGAAGAGGTGAGAAACATCATTCTGGACATTTTGTAGCAACCAACCTCTGGGTTAATAGAACAGAGGTTGGGTTGTATGCTACAATTATCCTATTGCCCTTTTCTTCTTGCCCAGCCGCATCTGTCATTATATTAGTTTGCGACTATATATATAATGGGCCTGTCCACAACAGGGGCTGTATGTACCAGTACACTGGGGTAACCCCCTACGGTTTATAGTCCTTATCTGAGAAGACTACTGTAGTCCAATCACGGGAATTATAGGCTAGTGTGCTGCTCGAACCAGCACCGATATTATGGGGTAGGTTTGTGGTGCCCTGAGATACCTGTTTAGCCATTTGACTCACCACCAACTGCAGAGCTGAGATCAGCCACTGGCCAGATATGGGCCTGCTTTCCCTGTGTTAATCAAGCAGGCATTGGCTCATCATCAGTCTGACTAATGTCTGAAACCCAAACGTTTGTAAAGAAAAGATAAAGTCATCCAATTAAATATATATGAGAACACTGCTTTTAAAAAATGAAGTAGAATTTTCTGACTAATGCGTTGTTGTATATTGATTTTAGAATGTTCCAGATGGAATATCTCCCAGAGGTCTTTGCTTTGGTGATTTGAAGGAGGCTTTGCCCAAGGTTGTCATTGAAACCACTCAGAGTAAGTATTCATGAATTCAGTGAAATGAATTAGGATTAAATTTTATATCTAACTGTTGGTCTTTGCATGCAAGACAAAGAATATTTTGAATTATTTTATAGGATTTGCTTACTTTTATATACTGAAAAAAAAAATAATTAAAATATTAAAATTTCATCAAGTAATGATTGTAAAGTTATTTTTTGTGATATAGGTAAAAGCTCAAGTAGCAATAAAGTTGCTTTTGCCATTCTAAATTATAATTTAGAAAACCTATGTGACATTTGTTCTATCTGAATAGTAATAGTAATTGAGGCTGCACAATGCAGGGTATCAGAATGTCATTAATTTATATATCTGTTCTTTTTAAGGAGAGGCAATCTGGAGTGAGGGACTTGGTTTAACAGCAGCAGCTCTTAATATTGACTTGCCAGAGAAGGTAGTTATTGTTATTAATGATATATATATTGTATAACAAATTTTACTATCATAAATAATGTTGTCAGTCAATAAACCAGTCACACATTCCAGTTGAATGGAACGTTCCATCTTTCACCAATACTGTATTGTACCAGCCTGACTGCAGTCTGCTCATTCCATTAGTTCTGTTAATGCATATTTAATTTGTTCTTGTAGTTATCTGAAACAACTGTTGAACAAGAATCTGGTGAAACTGTAGATTCTGTAGAGAGCACACCAGCAGAGCCAGACATTCCACAAGTGGAACATAGTGAAAATGCAGGGCGGGTATGTATACACGTTCTTCTAATTTCTCATCTACACACACATTTCCCAACAAGATGTGGCTTAAGTTTATTTTATTATTTAATTAGTAGCCTTTTCTTTACTTCTGTATTTATTTACATTAGGAGCCTGTGTTGTCCCCACCAATGACTGGTAAGGAAGCTGTTGAGATGTTCGGTAAAGGACGCCACCTAGGTAAAGCAAGTTTCATTTACCTCAACAAAGCCAGGACTCGTCATTTTCGACCATATGATCTAGTTGTAGTTCCAAAACACAAGGTAAATAACAGATTTTTTAAATTGTTACCTTTTGAAGTTGGTTTTCTCTATTATTTGAAAAGCTATGCTCTTATTAAAACTGTAGATTGGTTGTTGTATTTCCTTTCAAATCAATAGTCATGTTTCAATTATGCCAATTCCATGAATGGCCTCATGAAACACACAGCACTCAAAAGCCCAGCATACACTCTAAGATGTTTGTCAGACTCAATAAACTACTTTAGTGACACTTTAACTGATGAAGAACACCACTGCCTACTCTCAATAGATAAAAAACATGTTTGATCAGATATATCTCAAACAAGTTGACACTGGACAAAGTCTAATCACATTATTGGTATAGCATCTAAACAGAAATAGGAGGTTTTGAATTCAGGCCCTGAAGAGTACAACATATTTTTGTCTCATTTTAATTTTAACAGTTAAAATTAGATATAAGTAGAAGCCAGCTTTGGAAGACTAGTAAAACTTCACTGTGAAATTTACAGTCAACAGACTGTTAACTTTTCTCCTATCTCTTCCTAACTTGCCTTCATTGATATCTCGCATGATTCTTCTTTCACTATAAATCTTTACCGTGATAGATGAGTAACATTTTTTATAACTTTCTAGGCCAATCCTGATGAACACTGGATCATTTCATGCTTTGGAATCATGCACAAGGTCAGAGGTCAACCTGCAGAAAGCTTGGAACTCTTTGATTGGCATCGGGAAGCTGTGCTTTGGAGTACAATCACAAAGATTCCATTCTTCAAGTATTTTATTACAAGGAAAGTCTTCTTAAGGTATGTTATGCAATTAGATTCATTGTATAGACTGAGACATTGCTAGATAAAATTTGTTTTTGATAATAAACTGTTATTTTTGTTCTGATCAATTAATTTTTGCAGATGGAGGGCCAACCGTCGTTACAAGGATTTTTGCAAAACTCATCAGCATATTGCAAGTATCTTACTGAAGGCCTCTCCCAGTTTTGGTTCTGCACTGCTACATGTGTCAAGGCTTGTTCAGGAGCTACACACAGTAGAGTTTTTACCATTTGACAAGAGGTATCTTATTATACACATTGTTTCCATAAATGATACATTAGACAGTATGTTTAAAATAAAAAAGTGGTAAATGTATGAGGCCTCTTCTCTCCACCATCCTATTTACGAATATTAGTCCACTAACGGATGCTTACTATAAAATTTCAAAACAAAATTTCGGGTCATTAAGATTGTTAATGAACAGTGCATTATATAAAAATTTCAAGTGGTTAGTGTTATGCAAGCTGTGTTGGCTATACTTGTTGACACCTTTATCAACGTATTGATGACCACAATAAAAGTAACATAGGAGAACACTTAAAACATTTTGACATTAGTGTCACTGAAACTATTTCAGGATATCATCTAAGTGCAAATCCAAATTTGGTTGCTTAATTAAAGAAATGCTTTGGATCAAAAAACTGAAACCATCACTATTTTCTTCCTCTATGACATTAAATGGTTCAGTCAAACCAAACTGTTTAGCTAGTTAATCACATGAGGGGCTAATTATTGTTTAGCTCTACAGAGTATTGATATGTTAATTACTGTAGACCCGAAACGTTAATCCTCTTTTTCATTACATTTTAATGTAATTTTAGTTTTGATGTTACTATGCCTTTGTATTAAAGTGTTTACAAAATATTTTCATACTTTAGACATTTTCAAGCATTCAAGAAATCTAAATATTTACATTTCATTGCAACATATTTCACAAAAGTGTAAAATTACATTTAAAATTGTGTTTTAAATTGTAGCCGCTGCTACACTCTGGTCGAGTTTGATCAAATTACAAGGACAAAGAAAAGAGCTGGAGAACTATTGCTAGAGAAATTCTTTGAGTAAGTATTCAAGTATTCATACTTTCCTGAGCTGAATGTGTATTTGTGGCCTTGGTAGCACCACCAGCATTGTAATATACAATACAGCAGAAAAGCTTATTTGAAACACTCAGCAAAATGAGTACTATCAGTGAAAATGTTTAAAATATTTAACTACAGTATAGTGTTATGATTTTAACAAGTGATGTTTTTTCTAGATATTGCAAGTTGGTTGTAGATACAACATGTAATGATTTAATTGCAAAGTTGAACTTTTGTGAGGCACAGACCAAGAGCGATAAACTAATTTTGTAAGTAAACTATAAATAAGTTACTGTTCTGATGTAATCTTTTTGACAAACTAACTGCACAAATGTCACATTGTTTTGACACCACTGATCCACATCATGGCTGATAGGTTTATCAGGTGACATGTACTGTACTGGGGATGTCAAATTATGGCATACTGCATGTTGACTGTGTATACAAGTCATGTGACTTGTAAATGGTTGTGTCCCATCAGGGGCAGATCCAGAGATGTCCAAAAGGGGGGTCCCCCAAAAGTGGTGCCAATCGAGACAATACTACCCTAGGGGTCTGTCTGGGGCATTCCTCTGCAAAATGTTTGTTTTCTAGATTTTGTGCGATCAATTCTTTTTCTTTCTTTATTTATTTATTTTTTTTACTTTCCAAAAGTGGGTGTGGGGGGGACCATAAATCCACCCCTGCACATGATAGTATTATTAAATATAACAAGTCATGGGACATTGGTGGTAAAATAGTATTTTATGGCCTGATATTTGACATAGACTGTGTCTTCTTCAGAGGGTAGTGTTATATGGCAATATTATATTATGGTGAAGGGTTTGTGAAGTCAACTTATACTGATAATGTCATATTATCATTTGTAAAGAATATGTTATCAATTTGTTTTATATCTATTTGCATTCTAGCTCTAAAGATTCTTTGCATGTTCAGCGATTGAAGAAGGAGCAGAGAGAGAAAAACCTGAAAGATGCCCAAGATGAGGCTAAGTAAATGATAATTAAGTGGATGGATATGTGTTACTTTACATAAACAGTCTAATGTTACTGTTATAGCAAATATTTTTCAGCTAATGTTCATATTAGTATAAAATAAATGTTAATATCAACCAAGTATAGTATCATAGCACATTGTCAACACTGTAAACACTGTATGCATGTTTTGGCTGTTAGTCTTCTAAAAAATTGTTATATCAATTCTAATCGTGATCATTTACTTTTTTGGTGAGGTTTTTTTTTAAATTTTTAGAAACTAAGTGAAGCCCTCTCCAGACTGTCAAATTTTATTTGACAAAAACATGCGACATGCCTAAATATGGTCATGATGACATCACATTATGACCATATATAGGCACATTATGACCATATATAGGCATGTCATGACTGTATATGGGCATAAAACATTTTTTTTTTTTTTGTCAAATAAAATGTGATAGTTTGGACAGAGTTGATGAAAAAAAGATGTTGTTTGTCTGTTTATCTAATCAGATATCTTGGTAACTTTGTGAAGCTGGTTGACCAGATGCTTCTGACCCATCTACTGGCTCTTGCAAGAGCCAACATTTGTACCTTTGTGAATAATACTATGGTAGAGGGACAAAAAGCCGACAGAAAGGCTCTTTATGCTGCCAAGCTTGTGTTCAATGAGTCAAGTAAGTATAGATTGCACAGTGTGTGACAGGATTTAAATGGACCTGGACTACAATTGCATCCATTTTTGTTGTTATCTTCTTTTACTTTATTTATAGTAGCATCAAGCGTACCCTACCTTAAACACAAATTTTATTATTGTAATTGTTACCGGCCACATAAAATCCCCATCCCTTGTTGGATATCCTTTTCACCATAGACATCAGGTCGTACATACACTAGCATGTTTGTGGCCATGCACGCATTTATGGTCATTAAATAACATGTTCTGATTGGTCAGCTGTTCGATACTCTAGAAAATTGTCACTGACAGCAATTGTCACTGCTATCATATTTATAATAATTTTTATCATTTTTGTCATTCTTACTGATACTGTTATGATAATTTGGAAATATAAAAAATTCAACTATAATTTATTAAAAAATTAAATAATAAAAAAAAAGTGAAACTTTTTCCTTATTTAAATATCAGGTTGTTTGAGTTTATTTCCAAGTAAAGAGAAGTTCTCAAATACAGTGACAAGTGCCTTACAAGCTGTGGCACAGGTGATGTGGGAGAAGGCAAAATCAATGGAAGATGGCTCATTGGCTGATCAAGGCAAGAACATGGATGCCACATCAGGCACTAATGAAGATTCACAGCAGTAAGTTGTGTACATAGAGCATTCCTCTATTCTTGTCTCCTAAATGGCTGCCTGCATTGCAAGAGCACCCTCATGCCTAGAGTATGTAGAATATTTGCTCCAGTTCCAAACTACAGGGCTCTTCATAATCAATGATTTATGAGGAGAGGTAAATATCTGATCCTAATCTAAAGCCCTATCCAGGCTATCACATTTTATTCGACAAAAGATGTCTAAATATGGTCATGATGACATCATGACCATATATAATCACATCATGACTATGTACTCTATGGGCATACAATCATTTTTTGTCAATGAAAATTTGATGATCTTTGACTTTGTGTATTTGTATTTTTTAAAGCAGGCCCTCACTGACTCTTAACGTCAGTTCAGCCAGCCCTGTAACTCCAGTCAGCTTATCAAGAGAGGGCAAAGATGAGCCTATGGTATTGCCTGATGAAGATGACACAAGTACACAGCTAACAGAGCCTGTCATGTCCGTCAGAGGTAAGAAGATATTATCTTAAAGTGACACCAATCTGTTATTTTGTACCATGCTCCGCCAAGAGCAAGTGGCTCGCCACTAATAGGATGGAAGTGTGGCTCTATTAATTCATAGCAGAATTATTTTTGGTTGTGAAAATAATCCTGTTTTACAGGATTTGAAACCCCCCCTGCCCCTGAGCATTTCTGAGGGTGTGATGCTAAACAAGTATATTTTTTTTGTGGCCTTATTGGAATTTTCAAAATAATATAATATAAAATTAATATAAATAAAATTTTATTTTATTATATTTTATTATTTTGAAAAATTCCAATAAGAAATTCATCTTTAATATGAAAAAAAAATCACTGATACAAAATAATAATTAAATATATTATACTGTATACTTAATTTATTTAAAAAATAAATTAAGTATATAATATTATTCAATTTTTATTTTGTACCTGTGATTTTTTTTTCATATTAAAAATGCTGAAACTGCTGTGAATAAGTGTACAAGTTATAGAAATCAATTACTTATACTTATTTGGCTATTTCTTTGTGATATTTATTGTACTACACTCACCATAACAAAATATTATATTACAACATTTAATTTAACACACACTTTTATAGAAGTACATTATTAGTTGTTATTTTCATACAATTTATTTTCCAAAATTAATATGTTGGGTTGGTATCAATATATTTTACTAGCTGATCAACTCATTTTGCTAGTTCCATTTTTCACAACTAGCAAATTTTAGCAAAAGCTTGCTAGTGGCTAAAAAAGTAAATTTCAAGCACTTAGCGGTATTGATTTACTTTCACGAAATCGCTAAATTGTGTAAATCTCCTAAAGTGAGTCATTTTCATTTTACTATTTCGGGTCACATATTGTGATTAGAATAAAGTGTTTGGTACCATTGTAAAGCTAAAATGTTTGTAATCTGATCGCATACGCACTCAACAAGCTTCGGAAAAGTGTTACAATTTGCTAAAACTCTGGCGGTGGCTGATACTATTTGTTCAAACCCCTGGCGGTCAGAGTGTTAATGCGCTTGGAATCCATTACAATTTAAGTTAAATTTCTTCTCCATGTACAGAGGACCCAACTAAGGACTTGGATGTCATGGGTGTACTGACCCCTGAACTTGTTCCCAGAGCAAATCATGGCACCAGTATAAAAATAGAAGGACATGGCTTCATTGGTCAATATAGCGCCCTCAACAAAGTCAATCTTCAAGAGAAGCTATCTCAAGAGTAAGTACTAAACTATGATAGTGAATAACTTTGGGGTCAATATCACAGTTCCACCAAACATGGCTCGCAGTAGATAGATCTGTATGAATCTTGATGATTGGTAAATTGTGAGTGTCATAAGGACATGTATACTAATTTTTTTTAAACCAGGCTCCGAGGAGTGGAAAAAGGTAAATATATATAAATATTCAAAAATATGTATCTAATTTTACCTAAATCGTTCCCGAGTTATTCGTCAAACACCCTTATTGTATCTTAGAGAAGTCAGTGGTGCAACATATCAAAACATTTTTAGCCTGGCTCTGAAGACTATGGAATGCTGATAATATTTTGATTTTAATTAATGATAATCATTAGACTTTGTACTGTAGCATAAATTTTGACTGATAATTTAGCTGATTAATATTTTTACCGTGAATTTTGGACAGTGTCGAAATGCAAGCCTCTTACAAGATGTATTTCAAGTATATTAATGATGCAATGAAGGACATCGATTCTTTCTGCACTGAGCATCATTGGCTGACAGAGATACATAAGTTCACCCAATCCTGGACTAAGGACTCGGTCAAAGCATGGCACAAAGCCCAGGCCTACACAATTGAGGTATGTCGTAACTGATTGAGTTTTTAGTTATAAATTAGGGAATCAAAACAACAGCATTAAAATATGACAATGATGATCGTGACTTGGTTGCCAATAATGATGGTGACGACGGCAGCAAATACGAGTTGGATGACCGAGTTGGATGGCAAAACAGTTAAGGCAGGGGCGCTGCAACCTACAGTTATAATATTGCTGCTGGTTTGAACGGCATGCTTGCCTATGTTCCTTGTGGTGGAACAAGCCTTCTCGGATAAGGACTATAAACCATAGGCTCAGTGTACATAATGGCTTGTGTGCACTGTAAAGAACTCAGTACATTTTTAAAGACGTGTAGGTGGTTACCCCGGTGTACTGGTACAGACAGCCCCTGTTGTCAACAGACGAGAGATAGCTGGTACTGGTTTACTGAGTAGATCAGACATGAAGAGACCCTTAGGGGAGAAGAAAGTTACTGTGTGAGCTAGTCCACACCTCAAGCACTTTGAGAGTTTGGTATAAAGCGCTATAAAAATCCAACCATATAACATTACATAAATGATGATATTGATAATAATTATGATAAGTTAATGCTGAAGGTAATGATAATACTGATGATAATGGAATGGTAATGCTGATGATAATACTTATAATGATGAGGGTCATTAAGATGATGGTGGTAATAATGATGAAGAATGATCGTCATAATCATGATCACTATTCTCAGTTTAAGACATGAATACAGATATTTATAATGGACTATTTCTTAAATACTTACCTGGATAAACCGACTAATTGCCCATTCTTGACCATTTAGGTGATTTTAATGTAATAATTTGTTTTCAATAAGAAAATCCAATTTTGTCTCATAACCTAGTTGTTAGAGCAGTAATATGGCAATTTGTATAGTATGTATGCATTATATACTCTTTACCAAGACCACAATTGAATATTAATTTTGTGTTACATGGCTTTATTGATCTCAGATCAAAGCCACCCTGTCTAAGACTGTATTGCAGAAGCTGCTTTATCCCGAATACGTTTTCTCCAAGTATGTTGATTTGCACCTTGTTGACACAGAAGCAGTAAAGGCAGGCTGTTTGAAATTGAGATTTCTTGCATGGTGTGAAAACAAAAATCTTCATTTCGGCTAAAGCTGTCACATTCATGTGTGTTCTAAAGGCTTGTAATTAAAAGTTGAATAAATGCAGCTTCGTTTTTCACACTCATAATGAAGAATAAGAAGAAAACTGTTTAGACAAAATAAGTGAAGCTGTTTGTAGGATACTTATTCACTCGTTTGGATTGTCTTTTGTTTGTCAGTCTGAGTACTTGGATTTCCATTTTTGTGTGCATTTCACTGTGGATTACTACAGAATAATAAACTGAACATAGTATAATTATGTAGATTCAGCAGTAGTACCATTTCAGATGAAATAGTAATTTCCATATATTTTATCCTTATCATTCATTATTGCCTTTTATTTAGTCATATTCTTTCATGCATTCATCAGATTTCAGGTTCATTCATTCTTGTTGTAGTTACATTTCTGTGAATACTACACTCTATCCATCAGGTTCATTCCTTAGCATATAAGTCTGTATTAGTATATGTTTTTTATTGAAAACAAAATTTAAACTTTTACATATAGGTTAATTCCTTCATGTTGTAGTTGAATTTGGTTGCCATATTATTATCAACACCATTTTTCCCTTCTGTACCTATCTCATATATTCCCATTCTAGATTTCATTTAAAACATCCTATCACAGATTCCCAGTTATTTTTAATCCTGAGAACAAAATCCAAATTTTATAGTTTGTTTTGCCCCTCTGAATTTTGATTCCATTTTTATCAGTGTGGATTACACATTTTCACATCTCCCAGATGCATATTTTTTTATATCTATGCCTCTATTTCATCATTCCATATCAGATTTGTGTGTGAAATCTCATTTAGGTATTTTTAGTGAACCACCTTCTTTTTTCCCCCACTGAATTTTTATTCTATTTTTATTTGGTGTGGATTACACATTTTAATTTCTCCCAGGTACTTATTGTTTACAGTTTATCTATCCCTTAATTTTGTTATTCGATATCACAAGATTTGTGTGTGAAATACCACTTAGGTATATTTAGTGAACCTTCTTTATACAAGGTTGTATAAGCTTTTTGTTTATCTGTTTGTTTATTCTCAATGAATTATATTCTACAGACCCAGTTGAGCCAGATTCGTACATGGGTTGAGCGTGTGAAGAATGTCGACCGCTTCTTCACAAGTGAAAACCAGTTGTTCTACATTGACTGTGGAGTAATACAGGAGACGTTGGTTCCTGCCCTGAATGGTGCTTTTCGTGATTTACTCAATTTCACAGCGGAAGAGGCCAAAAAGTTTTCTTCTGCATTCATCAGTGAAGTACAGGAAGTAGTTCTGGTAAGATAATATATAACGGCAAATTCTTGAACATTTTCTGGCAACCAATAACAGCATTATTTTAGTTAAAAATACAGAAATTCGTTTTGCTGCTTATGTTCATGATATCCTAGATACGATAGAAAAGTTCAAAACCAATCTCGGCTGATACTATTAAGCCAACTATAGTTTGAACAAGTGGAAGTTGGGGTTTTAAAATGTATTTATATTAAACCTATTAATTTTTCTGATAGGGTATGAAATCTAAAGAAACAACTACAGAAGGGTTCGCAGAGTATGCCCAGAGGTATGGTATCTACAAGTTGAAGATGGGAACACTTCAACAAGAAGTTGAATATGTCAAATCTTTATTTGAGGTAATTGTTAAATTTAAAATTCATAACTGTATAGGCAAGGAGTTGAATGATCTGCCATGTTGACTTTGATATGGTGTGTGTATTGCTTATTTGTTTCTTGGTAGCCAAACAGACTGTTGCGGGTAAATGAAGTATTAATATTAGTACAGGCCTCCCTCCAATTAAAGACCACTTTTTGGACGGGGGTTTCCAAGGTCTTATAGCAGCTTTGGTCTCTAATTAGAATGCTAAGGTTAAAAACACTTGTTATTTTTGAACTGCAGAAAACTGTCCTTACTTGGAGGGAGGCCTGTATTAAAAAAAGTTCAAAATATGATTTTTATGTTTTATTGCAGGTGATTAGACTCAGTTACCGATCATTGACCCCCGAAGAGGAGAAGATTGAGGAACGAGTGTGGCACAATTGGGAAGCCTTTTTACTCCAGTTACAGGAAGCAGCAGAGTTTGTGAACACCCAGCTTCCACTTAAACAAATCCAGTTACAGGAAAGCTTCCAAAAACTTGAAGAAGAGGTAGAGAGGATATTGAAAGATGCTACAACAGGGCCGTTTCTAGATCCCTCGCAAAACCCAACCAAATTGCTTGCTGTTGGCCAAAAGGTAACAACAGAATTCAACTCTAAATAAATAATTAAATTTTGATTAGAAATATATAATAATATACACGTTATTCAACCACTAAATATTTAATAACCTCAATAGAGCTACGACAGCATCATTTGTACAAAAGTAAAAATTATAATCAATCAAAAACAGATTAAATTTAATACTGACTACATTTATTGTAACATAAATACTTTATAATTTTATTTTATATTCTAACATTGTATTTGAAATTTGGTTTCTCCTATATCTATTCTATTACAATTACATTACTTTATTGTGCCTATTTGTCCCAACATCAGCAAAATTTTAAAGGTTTCAACCACATAAATGTGAATGCTTACATTGTTATGATAATTGGCAATGATCCCTGCAATTTAGAAAAACTAAAAATATTAGAATTGACCATCTGGTTGTGGCATACACATGCTCTACATAAACTAAGTCTCATTATGAGGCTTAGGGAGTGGAGTTGTTTTGGTCATGAGAACAAATTCTGTTACCATGACAGGAATTGAACCCAGGACCCTGGATTGTAAGGCTAGCATGTTAACCGCCAAGCCAATAAATTTAGCCTACTTACTTTCTTTTGGATATTGATTTTATTTGTTATTTCAATATATTCTGTTTAAAAAATGTCTGTATTTTAAAAAACATATTTGATGTAAAGAATTTAATTATTATTATTATTGTTATTACAAACTCTTTATTGTTTTCACATCTTTACTCTCTGTAGCTTTTTGACGAATTCTACGTTGTTGCACGGGAAATGCGCAAATGCAGTAAGTACAAAGAGATGATAACAGGCCAAGCATTTGATACATCTCGATTGGACTTCGCGCTTCACCAGATTACGGTACGGTGGGAATTGTGGAAATACATAGAAGTATCTTCCTATACAATACAAGACTGGATGAGACAACTATTCAGAAGGGTAAGCATGCCCATTGCCTACCTTATAAGCAATAACTTATTTGGACAAAGAATTCCTGTTAATGCTACAAAATTTGATGAACAACTTTCTTGCTTCAGTGCAACTTAAATCAAACTAATGCCCAATGACTAATTTCTTTACCTTGTCTGTGTATTTTTTAGTTTCTGATGTAAATTAATTGTATAAGACCCAAGCTATTTTCTTGTAAAGACCCTACAAATAGATAACATCTGTTTCAATACATATCTTCATATTTTTATAGATGAATGTACAAAAGGCTATTGATAAGGTAGATTTGTGGCAGACTGCAGCCAAGCGTTTTTTAGAAGAGTTACCAAGTGATGATAAGGTTCTGCTGCATTGGTTCAAACTGCTGAGCGACTTCAAACAAGATCTTCCTCTGCTCCTGAAGCTCTCAAGTGATTCACTCAAGGTAATATCAGTTCCGTAATTTGCTATTGATAAATTGTTTTAATGTCTGCAAAACATTTTAAGGTCTGCCTAAAACTCAGAAACATAGCTCCCTGGATCTCAATATTAGGTATGAACACCTTAAACCCTGTCTTCTTGGAACACAGGTTCTGTCAAACCATAGATCCTTGATTGCCACTGAAGTGTTCTTTGTATTAATTTAGTAGTAATTCAAAATTTTAAATCTTCATTGCTAGCCTCGGCATTGGAAAGCTTTGTTTGTAAGCCTGGGCCAGCCTTACCACGCAGGACAGCATTTCTCTGTCGCTGAGCTTTTGTCTTTTAACCTAAGTGAGCATAGCCTACAGGTGAACACGATATGTAATGGTGCCATAGCTGAGTTCACCCTTGAGACCAAACTCAAACAGATCCGCAAAGTGTGGGATGAGAAGGAGTTTAAACTAGCTAAGCATATTCCAGAGAAGATGTACAATAGTCAGCATAACCAAGCCAAGCAACCATCATGGTCCATAATAAAGACTGAAGTAGACATGTATACCTTGATTGGCATCGAAGAATTGAAATATCTGCTAGAGGTAAATGATTGTTTTGTATTTTCTGTTTGAGGCTCTTAGGCGCGACAGAAACGCGTCTGGGAAAACCATGTATTACAAACGCGTCTGGGAAAGCGATCGTCTAATTATCATGCCTCATGAAAATTAATAAGCTAGTCGGAACATGTCCCAGACACGTGTAAACGGGTTTGTGCTGTTAAACGTGTAAAATTTTTCTATTGTTTTGGGCGACAAACGCGTCCATGTCTTTATACCAGGCCCCTGTTGAACTACCGTTTTTGTACAATTTAAAATACTGAACAAGTTTTACTTTGAAATGAACCAAGTTCAAAGTTTAAAGGCTGCATAGTCCTAATAGTTAAATTAAGTGGTAAATGACGATAATGGCAGCACATGCATGTAGGCCTAATTGCCGTTTGCTCTGACCTATCTTCGTTAAATAGCAGCCTACCTGCTGAGAAGCTGACGACAAACGAAAAAACATTTATCAACTTCCTGCACACATCACATGGGAACACAAATGGATGCCAGTATTCGCCAAACATCATTCAATAAACTACAGAGAAAATAGAACATCTACAGTATTTTCTCTATTATTAAACGTAGGCATCAATATATATTATATACAGCAACTAGGCCTATGCAACTACTGTACAATTAATATTGGGTACCTCGTGTGTGTGGATGTGATCAGTCCAACAGAGTACGCAACATCACGTGACAAATGTCACTGACTGTGTGGCCGGTGTTGATCTATACATGGAGGAAAGAACTTTCCTTGGTCTATAGAAATTCGCTTTGAGCGCCGCTCTGACAGAAGTGGGTCAGTTGAGATGCTAACAATAGGACGTTCGATGGAGTGCCTGGATGCCAGTTTAAAGTATGGCCTTGTCTGCTTGCCGGGCGGCGACTTCTGTATAGTTTAATTTTTTTAATCTTGCATAAATCTTTGTATCTTATATATTTTTATTGGTTAGGCCTATTATTATTTTATGTGTGGAAGCTGTTTATTGGCTTATGTTAAATAAAAATAATATTGAGTGTTAAAGGCCTATGTTAATGTCAAAATATAAATAAAACATACAAGTGAATGTACGTGTACCGTTGTATTTCATTAATAGGACTGATTAGGTGCTAATTCTTAACTGACCCAAACAAACATGTAGTGTACAGAAAACAGTATTCAATTCTTATATTCGGACATTTATTTATCCATCGACAAAAAATACAAATATATGCTGTATACACATGATACAGGCCGCTTTAAATACATGAGTCTAGGATTCGGGGCTAGATTCTGATAGATAAAAGTTAAACTATGATAGTAAAAACTATCCCCCGCTGGACACCATCCCAGTATTTCTGAGGTTTCGGGGTATTGAAAGACATATCCTATTCTTTTAAAACATCTTGTCTTGGGTGATACCTCCTCCTGTGCGAAGTTACCTCTACATTGCTACTAAATGTGTATGCCGGACAAAACCGACATCGACCTATAGGTGAAGTCATTGCCTTGTCGGTTGTATCCCAAGATGGTTGGTCCATGACCTTGTGAAACGTAATGTAGTGATCTCCATCTTCATTCAGCATTGGAGAGGGGAAACCCCTCAATAAAAATGATATACAAGGCCTACCCTATTCTTCCTCTAGATACATTTGGCTACATCAGAAAATACGATACGCATGGGGCAATACAAAAATCTTTATTGAATATAATAGTGAATATATCAACATGGTGGGTGTTGATGCATTTACTATAAGCCTACATGAACACATTAAAATAGTAAACAGTGATATACTAGAATACCATTGCTGGATGATGGTTTAACCATTTTTAAAACATAATAATATATATAATACAAACATGTATTAAATTCATATAGCCTACACAGTAAAACAAACAATGCCATAGCATACGTTGTTCCACATGCGATATCACGTGATCGCCACAACGGACTTCTTCAACTGCGGCTGATCCAGGTCAGTGTTGCTGTATTGTGCGGGCTGTGCAGGCACGTGGGAATTGGAAAGTTGGGCAAAAGGTACTTGTTTTGATAGGTCAATTCGAACATCGCACAATATAATCTGGGTAGGAAGGTTACTGGCGAATGATTTCTCTTCTACAAAACCTACAGGTAACGGTAGGGCCTAGCCTACTAAAAATACAAGAAACATTGGGGTTTCCCCAACAAGAAAAATAATTAAATTTAGGCCTTTATTATAAACATTTCTTCGTGAACTGTCACCTAGCGTAGGCTAGCATTTTACTACCGGGCTACTACTATTATAAATATAGGCCTAGGCCTACATAGCCTAGGTACTGTAGGGACACTGAACAAGATTTAAAGTTGTTTAAATCACGATCAAATTCCAAATTCCGCTGAACGCGTTTAACATTTGCCGTTCACGAGCAGGGGAGGAGTTAACTTCCAAATGGAATAAACGGCTCAAACGACAAGCTTCCAAACGGCATTTCACAGACTCGTTTGGGAGCTTGTCATATAACAATAGTAAATGTGTTTGACCCGTTTCTGTCGTTGGGGATAATTTGTAGATCACGCCTTAGTAATCTCTCTACTCCCTTAAAAGCTTGAAGTAGAGAAAAACTTTCTTCTCAAAAACACACATCTTTATAATGATTCCTGTAATTGTTAATTTGTGGAAATTTTACAAGTTAAAATTGAGCTTTCATTTATCTTTTTATGCCTGTTGAATATTTAGAAATCCTTAGTTCCTTATCTTATGATTGCATGTAATATACAAATCATTTTGAATTAGAACAAATGTGAGTTGAGGAAAACTAAAGTGGACTGCCATATAGAATTTTGCTTTTATTCTTTTGAACAGGATAGTCAGGTGACTCTACAGTGTATGCTCGTGTCTCCTCACTTGGCTGAATTAAAAACAGAAGCAGAAATTTGGCACCATAATCTCCAACAAGTAGATGAAATGCTCGACTTGTGGACACTTACACAGATCAAGGTGAGACATATTGTTACTGTTCAAAGTTTTGCAATCCTGTACCACAACATTGTTGTCTTTTATTCTTTGTTATAGTTTCTTTTGAAGCATTACATCACTTTTGTAAATGTATGAAACTGGTCTGTGATTAATGCTCTTGTAGTTAATCCCCTGCAAAATAGATAAAACAGTATTAATAATCACATTACCTAATATAATCTAGTATCACGTAGGTATTTGTACCATTTACTGTATCGTACTTCGTCTGTACTGTATTATATACTGTAACATACTGTTAAAGTATTTGTTTAAATATTTATTTACAGTGGCGATACTTGAGCAAGGTGTTCAGTTCTGACAAACTGAGCAGCACTCTACATAAGCAGGCAGTTAAGTTCAACAGTGTCAACACTAGATATGAGGTAATAATCAATGATCATACTGGAGGGGGGTGTTTGCCAAATTTATAAAGTGATCCTTCTACAGTAGCTGGGTTTTTCTATGGCTATGCTGGATTTGAGATTCATAAATACTATGCATATTCACATTGATGCAATAATGATGTTTATGTTTATACCTGAAAGGAAATAATGAAAAGTGTTGTTGGTGATCCTAAAGTCTTATCAATTCTCAACAAACGTGTGGGCCAGAAGAATAGGCGGCCTCTTCAAGGGGATGTTCTACGAGATTGTTTCAAAAGTATGATTCACGATCAAGTAAGTAGTTTAGGGTCAACGTACAATATGAAGTCATTCATTCAGATATTTTTCTTTAATACATTTTCATTAATATAAAAAGCAATTAGAAAATGAATAAAAAAGCAAATTTAGAGTAATATAAGATTGATTACGATTGAATCTATTTTGTGAATACTCTTACTGGGATAAATTTACTATTACCATAGTTTCTTTTAATGAACACTCTTATTAAAAAATTAAAATAGATCACCTTGCATATTGAAGCTACCATGGGGTGGTTTGTTAGGATTGAAACCAAGACCTTTCCATCAATAAATGAGCATGCTGGTTAAGATGTTTGCCTTCCAATCTCAAGTCACTTCTTAGTAAGATTTAATTTATAAAACACTACAACATTCAATTCTGTAATTGGCAAGTGCTGTTCAAAGTGAAGTAAATTTATTTTCCTCTGAGCAATTAGCTTACTTTTAATTATTTTTAATCAACTTATCAATTTAATTCAATTTTGCAGGAAGAGATCATAAAAGAACTCCAGCAGCATCTAAAGGAGATCCGTTCCAAGTTCCCACGGCTTTACTTTATGAGTGATGATGACCTAATGATATTACTGACTATCACAAGGGACAAGAGAGCTTGGGTGCCATATGCCCGGAATCTCTTTCCTGGCATCACAGAACTCAAGTTTGCGGTACCGAATAGCTCAGCTATGATGAAAACCATGCTGGATATGCATTTGCATTGTAAGTGCAATAATATCACATCAGCTGTTTTGCTGTTATTGTTATTATATTTAATATATTTATTTTTTCATTAATATTTTTACTATTCTAATTGTTATTATTTTCACAGCACATAAGTTGGAAGTAATTGGTATCTATGGTGATCATGGTGAGAGTGTACCCCTCATTGCAGCAGTTGCATCCACAAGTGAGATTTCAGATTGGTTAGGAAGACTAGAAGCAAATGTCAAAAGCACTATGGGTAATTTTCTTCAGATGTGCATGGAGGCAAGGTTGTCAAGAGACTACATCACTCCAGTGAAGATTCTGGAGGAACTAGCTTCCCTAGAGGAAACAAAAAAGGAAAAGAAACAGAGTGAAGAAGAGTCGAAGCTAAAACATGCTGTCAAGAGAAACTTTCAACACTGGTTGCTTCGTTTTCCAGCACAGTGTGTACTGACTGCAGAGGCAGTCGTTTGGGAAAGGAACACCAGACATGCATTGGAAGACCAAGACAAGAGTGCTTTACTGAAGAATAAGTATGAAACTCAATAATGTTTATATGCACAGTACTAACCGCATCAAACCATTTATAACCAACATACGTCTGAGCAACCTTGTGCTGTACATGCTCAAATTTATTTTGTATGTTCCATACATGTACACACACCATGCATCCATCATATGTACATCCATCCCCTAAGCATCCATCTCCACATGCACTCATTCCCACATGCATACATCATAACATGTACCCATCCCCATAATTACCCAACCCCCATCGCATCTATCCATCCCCACATCCATTTTTTTATACACCTATCCCTACGTAATTCATCCCACACATGCACCTATCCCCAAATAGAACCATCTGCACATGTGTCTGTTATCTCCACATTCACTCATCTCCATATGAGTTTATTCCACTCATGCTTCAGTCTCCGCATACACCTAGCCCAGTCTAAATCCATTTGACAGAGCAACCCCATGTGCCTCTGTCTTTTGCATCCATCTACTGTGCACTTACCTCCATATGGATCCATCCCAAAAATGCACATGTCATACACACCTCACCTCTCTCTTACTAGCTGAAATGTATTATTTATTCTATTGTTTTCTTAATTTAAACAGGGAGAGTTTGGATCGAAGATTGGAACAATATATCAGTATACTGAGTGAGATCTCAGCCGGTGATCTAAATTTTGATCCAAGAAATCGTCTGCATATATTGCTCAGAAACCTGATCAACCAAACTCTTCATCAGAAGTGCATAATTGAAGGTAATCTGTCATAAAATAACAAGTTCTGTACATAATGCATAATCCATTTAATCGTAAACTTGGCACTATTCAAGTCATCAAGCTAAGTATCTCTCTTATACACTACCAACATCACTGCTGATTTGTGTTGCAATTTTTGTTTCAATAGGTCTTCTGTCGGTATCATCAATCTCAAGTCGTTGCTTTGAATGGGAGAGTGTCTTAAAGCACCGCATGAACTGGCAGAGTGTTCTGTGTGCTAGACCGTCTCTACAGCCAACTGAGGGTGCATTTCAGTTATTAGCTGGTAAGCAGTGTATACCTATCAACAAGAATTCTCATTGGCTATAAAATTAGTGACGGTGTTCAGTGATAATACTGTTGATGACTGTGTTGGTGAAGATGATATTGGTGACATGTTTATATAAAAAAAGTAAAAGTTGTTGATTTTCAAACAAAAAAATGAATATGTATTTTTCTGAGTAGATCCCGAAAGTGAGCCCTCACTCAATGCAAGGGCCCCAACTGTGGTGACCTCTAGCTTTGTATTTGGGGATTGCAGTGTGCAGCAGATGGGCAAAGTTTTTAACTACGATCATGAGTACTTTGGTCCAAGCTTGCGCGCAGTCTGTACGCTACTGACAGACAGGTGTCACCTCGGATTGACAATGGCTATGAGCAGGTTCCAGTGTGGTACTGCCATTGGACCAACTGCGTCTGGGAAGACGGAATTGATTCAAGATCTGTCACAGGTATGCAAATTATCAATCATATTTCTGAATTTCAACTCTCATTCTTATGAAATATCAAACCAAATACAGCTATAATGCATATACAATACATAGACTCTAACACACAATTCACCAAATTAACCAAATATCAAACCAAGTACAGCTGTAATACACATACTATACCTAGCCTCTAACTCACAATTTACCAAATTAACCAAATATCTGAATTTCAAATCTCATTCTTCACCAAATATCAACCAAGTACAGCTATAATACATATACAAAACCTAAACTCCAACACACGATTCAACAAATTAACCAAATATCAAACCAAGTACAGCTGTAATACATATACAATACCTAGACTCTGACACACAATTCACCATGAGTTTGAGAAAATTTAATTCAGTAACTTGGAAATCAGAATAGTAGGCCCATACAATCTTAATTCTGCCATTTTCATGTAATTTTGTTATTCTAAAAAAGATTGAGGCTTTTCATTGTTTAATGTATGTTTGTGTATTTAATAAACCCTCTCAACTTATTAAATTTTACCATAATCCTCTTACCTATAATATTTAATATTTTTCTATGTGTTTTTTTTATTTAAATTATTTGTGCTTTTCAGACAATGGGTCGTCATCTATTTAGTTTGACATGTTGCCATGACAACAGCATGGATCATATCATTGGTGTGTTGACAGGTGCTATTCAGTCTGGTTCTTGGTTTCTCATTGATGATGCTGACTTACTGCCACAAGGTACTTGCTTTTATTTAATAACAATTTAGAAATATGTGATAATTGATCAAAACACTGTGCGCCAAGTTTTAAGTGTAAGTCACTTTACCCTCCATCTCATTACATTCTTTTAATTTCATATACAGGCCTACAATCTGTTCTAGGTCAACAGCTTAACTATGTACTTGATGCTTACAAGGCATTGAGCAGTACTTACGGAAGTCAGTATGACATGCGTGGTACCTCAAAGTTTGACAAGGTAAGCAACACCATGATGGTACAGTGTGTATAAAGACCACATGAAAAGGGCTGGACAACCTACTATGCAATTCTAATGCAGTACACACACTAGTTAGTGTTACAAATAACTCCAATTTGCCTACTGTACATATGGGCATAAGAAGTATAATACATAGTCCAAGTATTGAAATACGTACCGGTACCATTATGTTGGGATTCAATATTTCGAAATTAATTATGTCATCATCATATATGTGCATGATGTCATATTACGCCCTTTTTTGACAAAGGAGTATTTGTCACATATATTTGTGAGAGCGCTCTATATTAAATTTTGTAATAATTAATGGTTTAATCTATATTGTGAATGAGAACATGATTTATAGTAAACTTTGACAAATGTATGTTTGAGCAGTTCCAATATTTTGAGAGCTAAAAATAGCAAAGGGAAACTTGGCATTTATTCATTTATTCAGGTAGGTTACTCAAATCCTGATGTCTTTAGACTTGGGGTGTTGTTTTTCCCCTTATTTCATAAATTGATTCTCTAGCAGTATGGGAAGTCAATCACCAATCTAGCTGGCAAAATATACAAAATAATTGTGTTAATTATGTTGATAAACAAGTACTGTACATAGTCCTAATCAAATTATTTCTTGAGTAAATTGTCATTGTATTTATGATTGTCTTCTTGCTTTTTTTAACTGTAGTCAAAAGATGTGAGAAGAAATTCCTTAACTACTCTGCACTCCAGTTCAGAATTGATAAAACCCAAGATGCCCAAAGGTAGCACTTGTCCAAAAATTATCACGGTAAGAGTAGTAGGCTGCTTTTACTCTTGTGTCACACACCTGTATTTAATTTGTTGTAGTAGACTCACAGGATTAAATTGAAACTTCAGCGCTATTGATGTGGAAATGCTTTCATTCAACAAATACGATGCATGCCATCCCAAAACCAGCATACCATCGCTAAATGTCAAACTGAGTAATTATTATAAGAATGTGGCAATATTGTATACTTTAGTACAGAGAAGCCACAATACTTTTACTCATAAATTTGGCAGTGCGCAATAGTAAGTCAATTCCTGTAAAATGAAATATTTTAAATCTTATAATGTGGAGAGTATGAATAATTATATTAAAAAGTCAATTTTCTTGTTTTGGTCACTGATGACAAGCCCATATATTAGCAGCATTCATATGTAGCAACACTGAATATGGTATCTTCAATATTAGAAAATTGGAAAAAGAGTAAAGTTTGAGAAGAAAGAATCTTCCAAAGATGAGGAGGAAGTTCTACCTCATCTGCAACTGAGACGGCATTCAATTAGCAAGACAATGCTAATTGATGATGGACAGCATTATGAGAATGCTTCCAATGCTATTCCACTGTTTGAAGACACAGCAAGTGACATTGACGGTAAGTCAAAGCATTGAAGTTGAATAAAATGTCATCAATTGTTGTACTGTGTATACATGGTTAAACAGGTTAATCAAATTTGTTTATTTGAGCGTCAGACTAGGCCTAGTATAAGGCTAATAGAGTAGGCTCTAAGTTAATTATTTTGTGTTTTAGGTTTTAGTGAAAAGATGACAGTGTGGGTTTTATGCAAATTTATTTATTGCAAAATCTAGGCCTAGTGGGAATAGAGTCATTTTAGCTTAAATTAGGCAAAAAGTTAAAAGTAATTTTCCATTCAAATGTATCCTTTTAACATATGAACCCTTTGAATTCCAGAGGCTGGGAATGACAACAAAGAGACGAGTACAATTGAGGAAAAGTTCAATCAACTGCTAAAATGGAAATACAAACCAACGTATCTTGGACACTTGACCCTTGGAGGACAGTTAGTTGAAGCTAACGCAAACTTTGCTTGTTTCATGAATGTAAGCACGACACGACAAACCAATCATGATATGCCACAGAATCTTAGGGTAAGTATATGAATTTTACTAGTTTCAATAAATAAGTGAATGCAAAACGGTGTTCATTATTTTTATAATACTTACGAAAGTTCATCTGTATTGGTGGTATACACTGACAATGTCTGAAATTCACTGACCCCAAACCCGGGCACTCACTGCATTCTACAAGGTCGTACGACCGTCGGTCATCCAATCCAACTCCACTTACTGTGAGCAATTGACAATGCCATCTGATGATTGTAGATGACTGTCTGAATGGATTGTCATTAAAACGATTTGTGGCATTGCGTTTTCCATAGAATTGCGTTGGTGGACAACCGTCCGTAGTGAGTGAGTTTAAGATAAATCATCCTGGATTAGCATACTGAAGAATTTTGAAGTTTCATCTCAAAATGCCACTTGCAGTCAATTTTGTCTAATAAAAATAAGTTCAACAATTCTGATATTTTCATTAATGTTAATTCTGTTTATGTATTTCTTCAGGTGCTAATGCGTCCAGTTTCCATGATAAAACCTGATATTGGTGTCATTCTGGAAGCAACTTTAATTTGCAATGGCTTTACTGAAGCAAAGACATTGGCCCACAAGATAACAACATTGATGGATCTCCTTGACAACCAAGTATGTTTATATGTAATCAGTATTTACTTCTAAATTCACCTTACATTATTAATAACATGGGTAGTAATATTAATTATTTGAATAAATTGAGTGAATGAGTTGATAAATTATTGATAGAAATTGATTGAATAAATACAATACATGATTAGATAAATGAGTGATTTGATAAATGAGTGATTGAATAAATAAATGAATGATTGATTAAATTGAGTGAGTGATGAATGAATGAATTAATTAATTAATTAATTAATAATTAATTAATTAATGGACAATGAATAAATGAATGAAACACATATTCTAGTTGATTACAAATCTATGTATTTACTTTGTATATAGCTCCCTCAGATACCACAGTACAAAGTAAACCTGAGTACTCTGAAGACTGCTTTGAAGTTAGCTGCCTCAAGGTTGCATGCAAGAAGAAATACCCAGTTGTCAGCAAGGAACAGTTTCTCCAGGGCTGGAGATGCCTCTGTTGCATCACCTCTTACCGGTAAGTCCTGAAACAATGTCAGTTTGGTTGACTTTTTCAGGGATTATTTTATGAATAAATCTCAAGGTTAATGAAAACCTCCTGACAAGTCTGCCACGAAAGAAGCTCTCTTGAAATTAAATCCTTACTTTGATATCCTTTGATCTTTCCTGTAGATAGTTTATTAGAATCAATGGAATACATTGAACAAGATGAGGAACAGAAGCAAGAGCTAGCACTTGTTCATGGCCTTACTGCTTGTCTCATACCACGTCTTACCAGCGTTCAAGACATCCGCATGGTTAAGAACTTACTCCGAAGTGTCTTCCCTCGCAGCAGTCGGCCAAGCACCGCTAAAGAACATGATCCGGTATTGATGGATGCTGTGCAGAGTCAGTTTGTTCTTGATAAACTTCAGGCAACTCCCCAACATGTATCAAAGGTGGGAAAAATTTTCCAGGTTTTTATTTTTCAATATTATATTTTATGCTTTGTATACTGTTTTAATAAGAAAATGTAGAAAAAAAGAATGATTGAAAGTATTAACCTTTACTGTTATGCAACATATACCCCTACATTGTTAAAAAAATGTACAACAGAATACTGAAAATTAATGGTTTAAATGTTTTTTAACAGGTTTTAGAGTTGCATAAGAATCTGGAATCTTCCATTGGTACTATTTTGCTAGGCCCGGCTGGTTCAGGCAAAACAGTGTGTTATCAGACGCTAGCAAGAGCTTTAAACAAGCTTCATACTGACTTCGCTTCAAATACACAAGGAGCAAACAGCGGTGATAAGAGAAATGAGGTAAGAGTAATCATAGGTGGGCTGCTGAATGTGTGTTATAATCAGTCAATCAATCAATCAATTTATCTATGTATAACAAGGTTATATATTATTTTAGTTATATACCCCAATGGGGTCCTCTGTCAGTATATTCAAATTCAGATTCAAATTTGTTTGTTTTTGACTACAATACATTTTTAATAATATATTTCAATTAAATTGAGTTTTTTTGTTTTTTTTTTTTGGTTTTTTTAGCTTTCTATTTAAGTGTCTGTAAATCATCATCATAGACAAAATAAAAAGTTACACAAAAGTAAAGATTAGTTTGCTTCCATCCTTTATTCACTGTTGGATGAGAATTATATTAAAAATTAAATTTAAAAACATGGTTTGTATGTTATTTTCAGATGAATTAGACGGAAAATTTTTAACATTACAACAAATTGTGTTTTTTGTTACAGGGTAAAATTTCTCCAGAGTTACAACGATCATCTACAATGGATCGAATCCTCCGCAAGGGGGAAGTATTATCAAGTCAAGCAGGTCGTGTTTGCTATAATCCAGTGAACGTGGATGTTTTGTATCCCTCAGTTCTGTCAACAGAACAGGTAAAACACTTGACTACCAGTCAGTCTTAATAGACTCAAATAAAATATAGACACATTCTCTACTTTGTTTCCCTCTACCCAGGAGTACGGGTTTTTAGGTATTAGCAAGTGTTTTTTGAGAGAATTGGCAAATATCTGCATTGCAGTGTTTGGCCCAGTTGACAAGGAAGGAAAAATGGGCACTTCAGTCAGTGAGCTCAGAGCTTCAGTTTTTGAATTTACCTTACGTCTACCAGGTGTTTTTTTAATGAATTAGTTATTAAATCTCCGTTTACATTTAATAGCTCATAGCATTAATTACGTGTTTTGCATATCACTTCAATTTATAAAAATCTGCCTGAATTATCTTCCAGATGTTCGGAACCTATGATGTTGAGGTGCAATGTTGGAAAGATGGAGTATTTACAAAATTATTGCGAGATAGATCAATTACTTGCGAAAGAGCCAAGGTATTGACTTCGAAAGAAAACAAAGAACAGAAGAAATTAAAAGGGATGCTCAACCCACCAAGCATCATCAACTCGTGGGTTGTAATGGACGGGTCTATTGATCCAATGTGGTCAGACAATCTCAATGCAATACTCAGAAAGAGTGGAACAATCAATTTAGGTCATGGAGTTTCCATCAACAGGAGTGGTAAGAATTCAAAATATGTGATTCTGGATCATTTATTAAAGGCTTTAACATTTGACTGCATTTTTTCATTTTATTTTATCAAGGTATTTCTTTTTTTCTGTTTAAAATCTCTGGAACATAACCTACATACTGAATAATTTTACTGGACTTATGTATTTTTGTATGTTCTCTTATTCCACTCTTCAGACTCTACATCCATCATCTTTGAAACCACGGACATTTCAACAGCCTCTCCCGCCACCGTCACGCGGTGTTCTGTGGTGCATTTTGGGATGGATGTTGTCCAGTGGCGGTCAATCATTGAATCATGGCTTGGTATAGCTAAATCACAATGGGAATTGTCTAATGATTGGTATGTATTCTTTCAAAATAACCGTTGTCATCATTGAATATATCTCATAAAGTTTAAAATCAAAGGAAGAGAATAACCCATAACTTGCAGCGTCATTTTGCCGAATTTGCGTATGGGCGTGGTTTGAGACTACCTAGCAGCCGTAAAGAGATGATTATAGGAGCCTTATGTACACATCATTTCGCAATGACGGGCTGAAATGAACCATGGATAGCATCGGAGTAACCCCCTACTCTTCCGAAAGATGCCATGAGTTCTTTAAAGCCTCCTCGACTCAGATGTGTACACTAGACCTCCATTTTAAGTCCTAATCTGAGAAGACTTGGTTCTACCAAACATACCCGGGCCGAGGATTAGCTCAAACCAGCACTGATTTTAAGGCTGTATTTACCACACAACTTGGCAAACATACATACATATGTGGCTATAGATATTGTACTAACTGTTTAAAAATATGATAGTGAATGCCTGGGCTTAGGTAGAGAAGTTGTATTATGTTTATTGATGAAATTCTACAATTTATAGGATTAGAACCAATGACTGACATTTAAAGACAAGTAGCTTAACCACCATGTATATATTCATTACATTTAGCATCTACTTTTTATTGAGTAAAATGAATGGTTTTCTCATGTTGCATTTCAGTCTCCAACTGCTCAAGACACATGTTGCTGATTTATTTTCCTTGACGATTGACTTTGTCACCGAGCAATGTACACCGGCTTTGATGGCCAGCCTTACAAGTGAGATCAAACGCAATAACCAGATTGGAAGGGGAGTGCAGGAAGTGACCTCCTTCATCCGTATCATGTCTGCTCTATGTGACAGGTTTATTCTAAATGAGGAAGATGTACCCACGCCAAGATCTGGTTCATCTGGTAATTTTTATGTGAAAGGGATAAATTGCAGACTTTGCAACATAATTTATATTTTAGTTGTTAAATATAGATAGAATCAGAATGGTCTAACCCCAAAATAATTTTTAAAGATATTTAATTTTTGAAGTTTTTTAAAGCATTAAAAAGTCTTTTAAATGTTAATCCAATCGTGTTTCCTTGATTAATTCACATCATGGCATTAATTATGTATTGTGTAATCATTTTTGAACCTTTAGTTGAGTTTTTTTTTATGTTATTTGTTATATGTTTATATATGTAAATTTGTTTTTAATGGCATAAAAACTTCAACAAATAATGTCTGGTTCTAAAACCCTTCGTATCACTGATGGAGGTATAATTGCTCCATCAAAAAGTTACAATTACATGATCTATCTATTTGCAGAGGGTAAACCTCCCACCCCCACAAGTGGCACATCTTCTGACGTAACAGTTGTGAAACCAACTCAAGTAAGACAGATATCTACGTTGTTTGTATTTGCATTCATCTGGGGATTCGGAGGCCATCTGCATGACAGGTGAGTTGGCTGACAGCTGGCCAAAGAATCCATCTTTGCTCCTTGTCAATGCTTGACATGGGAAGTCTGTTGCTTGTTGATGGCAGACCGTGTGGTTCACGTAAAACAATGTGTCACGCATATACTGTATCGCCAAGTTGCAGTTTTCATGGAATCGTGTTGGCTGATCCATAGTACTGTAGTTCATAAATACTGAATTTTTTAATGAATGATTCAATGCTTTTATTTCATTTTTGAAGTTTTTCCCGATTTTTGGGCAAAGAACATGTGATTCATTCTTCAGTAACAACACCTATTGAATCTCCATTCACAGATATGCTGAAAAATTTGACGTCTTTTTCAAAAACCTTATAAGCAAGACTACACATGACATTCAAGTGCCTAGCAGTGGGAGTGTGTTCTGTTGGTATATTGATCCAAATCAGGCTGTTCTAGTTTCTGCCGTTGACCAGCTTGGTGAAAAGATTAAAACACTTCCATCTAATTACACCATCATTCCAGAGGTAGATCTATTTATAATTGTTTTTATTTAAAATTCTATTTATATCATTAATTATTATTAAAATAAATAATTTAATGGTGTTTTTTTTTTCTTAATTATAGATCAACAGGTATTTCAATTTGATTGATTTACTGGTGTCATCCAATTATCACATACTCTTAACAGGAGAACCAGGCTGTGGCAAGACCTCACTCATGCAGGTATATTTCCTGGATATCTGGTTAAATAAGCTTTTATCGCACATCTGATTTTTTTTCTGCTGGGTTGGACTAGGTTAAACCCAATTTTCCAGCAATAAATAATAACCACTGACCGATCATCTGCCAAATTTATTCAAGGGACTAATTGATCAGACCCAAATTATAATATTGATGCAATAGCTAAGTCTTGGAATAGGATCTTCAGCGGTGGCGTATCTAAAGGGGTGCGCGGTGATGTGCGTCCCCCTAAAAAGGTTCCCCAGTCACCCACACACCCTTTGAAAATGTTCAAAGCAAAAAGTAATGTGGATAAACATCACCTCATATCACTTTATATTGCGAGCTAGTTCCCCTCACATAATCATTGAGGCCCCCACTTCACTATCAGCCCCCCTCCCCATTTCAAGACTGCTAGATATGCGATTGATCTACAGGATAAAAGGAACAAACTTTACCACTTAGCTAAATACTCAGTTCTTGTGTGAATAGAAAAATAATTATTACATTGATATATCATGATTTTAGGCAGTTGATTAATTATGACATTTCCTTGTAAAACAGAACTTGGTTCAGCCAAGACACTACTTTGTGAAGGCGACCTTCTCACAGCAGTTGACCTGTGAACAAGTTGAAGAGTTTATGTTGAGTAAACTGCGAACCAGAAACCAAGTGAATTCATCAAAAAATACTGGCAAATCCAACAAACAGAGCAATATCATCTTTATAGATGACTTGAATTGCTGCCCTGATAATAAACCAACTGGTAAGAATAATTATGTATATTTTGTTAAACACACTATAAATTAAGATATTATTCTCCGGAAGACGATTGAATATTTTTATATCTCAAAAAACCTTTTAAATTAAATTTGCTCATTTATTGATATTTACACATTTTTCTATATTTCAATATTTATCTTTCGATTTTTTATCTTTTTGAAGAATTTTATATTGTAAGTATTTGTGTTTTTTTTTCGTGAAGGGCCTCCACTCGACAGTGATTGATTTTACTTTTGGAGTGTCTTGTCTCTTGTTTTTTTTTTTTTTGTGCTTTTGTGATTGTTCTTTGCCGTGTCTGTTTATGTACATCTTAATTGCTTGAGACAAATAAATGAAATGAAATGAAATGAAATGAAGCAACTCTATTGAAATTTTGAGACATTCTCCACAAACAACAGTTTTTTTCAGAACTACCTACTTTGTATACCGCAAGCATTAAATTTATACTATAATTAAATTCAACCACCTAATAGAAATGATGGACATTTACAATTTCTGTAGTTAAAATTACTGACCTCCTTGTATATAGCACATAACTGAGAAACATGTTGAAAATAGGACTATCAATATAGAAAATAAGGTCATCACCACCTTTTTGGATTAAAAGGAGTAAAGATTACATTTTTCATTTATCGTCCAATTCCAAATAATTTGAAATTGGAAATTTTGGCTGGGTTCCTGGTACTCACGACAGCTACAGTGCAGTGCCAGAACTGACATATAATGGATACACTGTCACTTATCCCGCCTAATTCTCATGCGAGTGTTATTCCAATGCTGGCCGGGTTTGATAGCTGTGCTAAAAGCTTTTTTTATTATTATTTATTTCCATCATTACAGTCCAATCATCATTGACTAATATCTCTAATATTCTTAACAAATATTTAGGATCACAGCCATGTATTGAACTAGTCCGTCAGTTCATCAACTGCCAAGGTGTCTACCATCGTTCACGTAATTTCTTCCAAGCTATGGAAAGAGCGAATTTTATCGCAGCATGTAATGCACCTGGGTCGGCAGGTGTGGGTAGTGGTTTATGTACCAAAGTACTTTCGCCTCGTATAACACGGCTGTTCACTGTCTTGAACTTCTTTGCATTGTCGCATGAATCATACAGTAAGCTACACTGCTCTACCATGCAGGCGTGGTTGGAGGAATTTCCAGCATATTCGTTGAACAGACATCATGAATTGGCCCAGGTTAGATTTTTAGTATTTGTGTTGTCATTTTATTTCCAGTAACTAAACTACAATTAACAGAATTAATAGTATAATTATCTAGTCTATTGAATACTTACCTGGATAAACCGATAAATGCCTAAGTTTCCTTTGAAACTTACCTTATATATATATATATTATATATCTTAACCATATGTTTCAAATGGGTAGTGTTGATGTTGGTGATGGCAGTGGATGATGACAACAGAGGCGACAATGACTATTGTTGTAAAGGATGGTACAGATAATGATGATAATGATATTAATACTAACAATTTTACTATTTATTTATAGGCAATTCTGCTGGCTTCACAAGACCTGTTCAAGTCAATAAGGAAGCATTTTTCGCTAAGCCCTTTAAATCCTCACTACACCTTTTCATTACATGACATCAGTAGGGTGGTGCAGGGCATGTTCTTGCTCTCTCCCAGAGCTAGGGGAAGGCCTAGGCATGGTCATCGCAGAACAGTTGCTGGTACCAAAGGAGGTAATAGCTCAAAACATGTATAATTGTAGAGTATGGAGTAAATATATATTAATATTAAAGACCTATAGAAGACCCTTTACCATGCAGATACCATAACCCTTCTATTTATATATTCAAAGGTAATTATGGAAGGCGAAGGTCAAGAGGTGAAATCCTATCAGCCCCTCCCATGATGAAGATGGTCATCAGACTATGGTGTCATGAGACTACTAGGACCTTCAGCGATAGGCTTGTAACAGAAGAAGGTGAGCATTGATTAAATTTGATGTTTTGATTATAATAATAGTTTTGATTTGATTAAATTTTGATTTGATGATGATTAATTTTTATTTGGTTATAATTGATTTCGATTTGATTTTTATTTAATGTTGAATTTATTATAATTAATTTTTATTTGATTTTTATATAATTTTGATTTTATTATGAATACTTTTGATTTGATTATGCTTTGATTATAATTTGATATTGCTTTGATTTGGATCATATATTTAAGCACATGAGCCAAGTGCAAATTCCTAGAGGCCTTAGTAGTGTGGCTAGCATTAAGTAAAAATAGCATTATTATTAAAGATGAAAATCACCTTCTGATAAGAATATATATCATCATCAATGCTCGAATAACTCCTCTTTTTGGTTTACAGCCTTTGATTGGTACACGCAATCTTTGCAACAAGTAGTTGAGAAACATTTCTGCACCGGTGAGACTGACACAACTTCGGGTAACATAAGTGAAGATGTTCAAGTAAGCAAACTTATATTATGTATATTTTATGATCTGTACATAACTAATTCACATCTACACATTGTCTGCACACACTGATTTACATCTACACTTCTTCCCATAATCTGGAAGACCCATAAAAAAACAGTTTGTCCTAGTCCATTATGGGCAAACCAAGTTCCAAACAATAATCCTCATTCCTTAGAGTTCCAGCTAATCATGAAGAGAGTAGGATGAGAGGGAATGCTATCCATGTGTTTTACTGAGACTACCAACATCACAATTGATTTGTGTAATTTATGTAAAACTAAATTTATTTATTAGTATTTTCAGTACATATTAAGAAAATTAAATTAATATCCAACTGGATTTATTATTCCTATTCGCATTATGCGATTACCTACACCATACACTTTGCACTATTTTTTATATGATGTCTTCAGACTGTGAAATAGTTTGCACTGTGTTACCTTTAGTTAGCAGATATTTTGTCACCAACTCTTTCTGAGGGATCTGTTGTGATAGGCCAATCACCTGATTCGGTGTGTAAGTCTGTTGTAAGTGAATGAACAATAAAATTATCGACAATTGGTATATTTTTGATATCATATTTGATGTTTAATATATAGTGTGTTTATTTTGTTGTTTAACTGTGTGATATCCAAAGCTGTAGCTATAATTATGCTTTTGACTGTAATATCTTGTTCTCCACCTTTCCTTACTTGTCATATTAAGTACAGTACTATGTAAGACAAGAAACGTAAAGAAGATTTTATAAACTGAATTGTTTTAAGTAGTGATATTTTTTTTTTTAGTAGTGCTACTTCATCATTGGCAAATATTTCAGTTGAAGGGGATTTTAGGGTTTAATTCCATTTTTCCATCACAATAAAGTATTTCAATGGCAGTAGAAAGACTTATTAGAGCAAAATAACTCTTCTTTACGTTTGTTGTTGCCATAGCTTTGATGTGTTGATTCCTTTATTCCATTTATGTCTATGATTTGCCTACTCTTGCATTAAAAATGTTTCTATTGTTTTGAAACATCTGTATAATTTGTTACCCAAACATCAATAGTTTATCTGCAGTTCATATGGTAATTAATGTACTCTTGATTTGTAATCTTAGTGGTTTGAACACTATCATGTTGCATTCCTTAACTTTTACATTGATTCATTCCTGCGTATATTATCTATTTAATTCCACATCAGTGTTGCCAAATATAACAATGTTGTATGCTATTATCTACTTCCCTTTTAAAAGTTTTAAGGTGTTTTCCCTTGCTTTATTCTTTTTCTAACTTTCCTAAACTGCTTATATCCAATTGCTATAGAAACATTTGTTTATGTGATGTTTCAGCAGGGGTTATAAAAGCTGAGTGCTTGCAGTGTGTAGACCCAAGTTCAAAACCTGTTGAGAATCGGATTTGGGTTATTAATTGCTCAGGTCCATTAACTCTCACATGTGATTTTGGCAGGTTGAAGTGCAATCATTGTATCAATTTGTATCTGTTAGATTTTGTTTTTAAAGAGGACAAGATCTTCCAATTACAATTTTTTTTTTACTAGAATGGCAAATTTATCAATAAAGCAAATTGCTCACCACATAGTTGGCAGTCACTAAATGATAGGATTGTATATTCTGAAGATGATGTTTATGGAATGAACACCAAAACTCTTAGAGTTAAAGTCAGTCATTATTGTTTTGGTAAAAAATCAAAAAATTCTGTAAAGCTGGTTTTCCACTAGGCGAATTTATTCGTGCGAATCGAAGCTTTGGCTTGCTTCCTGAGCTCTGATTGGTTGCGCAAAACTCCGATAGGAATGTGAATTGCGCATGTGCATAAGCCGACGCTTTGGATTCGCGTGAATAAATTCGCCTGGTGGAAAACCAGCTTAACGAAATATGTTTATATGATGATGTGCTATTGGTAAGATAGAAGGCAGGAAAACAAAGAAGAATAACAATTTTTTTTCCTTTTTTATTATAGGAACCTGAAGAGGATGATGATGAGGACAATGTACTGAGTAAATCCACAAGTACTCCAGGGACGGGAACAACTCGGACTGCATCCTCAATTTCAGATGCTACTGATCAAATCACATCTGATGAATGTAAACGAAACTGTTCATTTGTTAACATAACTAAAATTATCAACTTTTACAGACAATTTACCAATGTTGACACCACTAGAGGAATGGTTGTAGAGAAGCAATGGTTTCCCATAAGATGATAATGTTCCAATAATAGTAAATAACTCATTGAAATTGTTGTCACAAGTTGATATCTTTTCTTACATGTGATTTTAAGTGTATTGACAAAAGGTAAATCTGTTGTCTCCAGAGAGTCAATAACTGTTCCCAAAAATACAAAATCCTCTGTAAATAGATATAGCATTAAAAAACCTTATCCAAAGTTTTGAATGTGATCTCTTCACCCACAACTGTATTTTTCCTATTTGAAATTCATGGTCCACCATAAAAAAACAGTCCATTTTTCTTTTCTGCATGTATTTCAGCAAGCATGTCTCCAGGCACTACACTCTCCTCTGCAACACCATTGGAGCAAGATGATACTGGTACCTCTGTAACTTCCCAGATGGTCGATAGTAGAGACACACCAGTTAAAGAACATTCACATGAACCAGATATGCCAACAACAAGCCAAATATCATCTTCTGCAATACACTATGATTCACAATTGTCAGAGGGAAGATGCACAGAAGTTGGAATGTCTGACAGCAAGAATACAGCTGTTACAGTGTCTGACATTCTCCCTGGTATGTGAAAGTAATAATGTTAGTTGAAAATTATCTTTTCTTGATTATAAATCTTAATAATTGTACTTCACATTTTTAAAATTTCAGTAAATTTCATTTCACTATAATAAAGTCATTAGTCAAGTAAAAATGAATAACAGAGCAAATCATTAAAATTACTATTATTTGCTCCCATATCAGAAACAAATGAGACCTCTCAACCAGATGTAGCCAAAGGCATTCCATCTGAAAGTGCCCCACCCCCATCAGCCATAGGGGTGAATGGCTCAGTGCCTCATACTCCCATTCGTAAAAGTTTACAGAAGTCGCCAGCTAGGGGGTTGTCGAAAGAGAAGAAAAGAGGTGTGACTTTTAAACCAGGCCTTATTGGGGACACGTTTACATTTGAGCAGTATAAAGGACCACTTATTTCTATGGATGAGGTATGTAAAATCAGATTCTGCAAAAAAAAAAAATGCTTATATTTGATGGGTTTTTTAATGCTTATAAGCATGGTTCCAGTGGCAAGAATTGGCATGTCGACAAGGATGCGAAGCCCCGCCCACAAAGTCACAATGGCGGCTAGACTTACCGAGTTGGCGAAGATTTTCTTTGATATCAACCTTCTGTAAGAAAGAGAATTCAGGGTAGGCGGTATGCAAATGAATCATATATTCATAGTGTTAATCTATTTTATGGAACATGGCGGGGAAATTGTTGTAAAAGCCTCTGTATTTCACTCCCAAAGGAAGAGGGAAAAGCCGCATTCAGTCAACCTTGTTGTCGGCAAAGGCCAAGTCACTGATAAATGCGCACTGCTCGTGTAAATCTGGGTATCTATAACCAAGCATCTAGGCCTAGGCTCACCTATGTTTCGCGTTCAAACCAGCTGTCTAATTAACATGTCAAAGAAAAAGTTTTTGATCACGTGACTAAATGACGCTCGCTGATTAGTCGGTTTATCTTTCAATCAAATTTCTTTGTGATTATCTTAAGCTCTGTCCACACTGTCAAACTTTATGTGACAAATAATTGTCACATGTCCATACTGTATGCTGGTGTAATATGACATCATCATGACCATGACACATCACACAAACTTGTCATTTAAAATGTGATAGTGTCGACAGAGCTTTTAATGAATTTGATCAGGTTTATTACCATGGAATACAAAAAAAACTGCTATACCAAATCTTGTTTTGCCTAAAATTTGAAAGTTTATATTTACTGTAATTGGTAAGCTTGATGAAAAAGATAATAAATTATTTTGTATTATACATTTTCAGATTTGTTCATCAGAGGAAAAATTGTCAGATATTTTGTTTACCAAGTTTATAAGCACAGACTTAAGAGATTCAGATAAAGAGCATCTAGACCTAGGCTCACCTATGTTTCGCGTTTAAACCAGCTGTCTAAGGAAATTAACATGTCAAAGAAAAAGTTTTTTATCACGTGACTAAATGACGCTCGCTGATTAGTCGGTTTATCTGTCAATCAAATTTCTTTGTGATTATCTTAAGTTCTGTCCACACTGTCAAACTTTATGTGACAATAATTGTCACATGTCCATACTGTATGCTGGTGTAATATGACATCATCATGACCATGACACATCACACAAACTTGTCATTTAAAATGTGATAGTGTCGACAGAGCTTTTAATGAATTTGATCAGGTTTATTACCATGGAATACAAAAAAAACTGCTATACCAAATCTTGTTTTGCCTAAAATTTGAAAGTTTATATTTACTGTAATTGGTAAGCTTGATGAAAAAGATAATAAATTATTTTGTATTATACATTTTCAGATTTGTTCATCAGAGGAAAAATTGTCAGATATTTTGTTTACCAAGTTTATAAGCACAGACTTAAGAGATTCAGATAAAGGTATCAGAAATGAGTTCTTCAATTTCTTTATAAATTTTTGTCAAGATTTTTTCTTGAATAATGTCATATTGAAGTGATTTGACAAGATCTTCAGAGCACCATTTCTAATAGACACCAAATAATTACTCTTGTATTTTCGATTTTGTATTCTTGATTTGATGATCGATTACGCTGTTCAAGATTTAGAAGATTGCAATTTTGTAAAGTTACATTAGAGTGATCATTATTTGTGATTTCTTTTTTTCATTTCAGCTGCAGGTTATGGAGAAGTGAACACTAATCAAATACACACAGGATTGCAGAAATGTCTAAATCTCTACAATGAAGGCGCTGATCAACAAATGGACCTGGTGTTCTTTGAGGAGGCCTTAAGGCATTTTGCCAAACTGACAAGAGTATTGGTGAGTGTATCAGCTGTTTCTTTGGTTTTCTTGTGAACATATAAGCTGTAAAGATTTATAATAATTATATATTGCCATGTAGAACGTAAAGAATATAATACCAGCATATCTTCATTTCAGGGCACCCAAGGGGGAAATGCTTTGTTGATTGGACAGACTCGAGGCACTGGACGATCCAGTTTGACACGGCTTGCTGCATCAGCTGCAAAGTTCAAGATGTTTGAGCCTAAGCCTAGCTCAGTCACCAAAGACCGCTCAATAAGAATTCGTGAAGCCATGAGGAGAGCAAGCAGAGTGGCTGGATTGGCAGGGAAGCCTGCTGTATTGCTTGTCAGCTGTGAACCATCAGACCAGTCATTGTATGATCTTACAGCCCTCATGAAAGAAGGTAAGAATTTATTAGATTTGGTTTGATTTATAATGATAGTGTAGATGAGGATGAGAATCAATCAGTCAATAAGTATTTATGTTCTTTTTTTTTACATTTCTAGGAACCTGTCCTGGATTGTACAGTAAAGAGGACCTTGACCAGATAGCTTTACAGATGCTGCCTGGATCCAAGCCTAGTGGGCATAGAAGCCAAAGGGTGGAGATGGCACAGGAGCGGTTCTTCAGACGTGTCCTTGTAAACCTTCATGTGGTGGTCAGTCTTCATTGTCCAGGTTAGTCACGAAATTAACAATCTATTTTTAATTTTGATATTGAATTGTCACATTGTTTAGGTCATTAAGGCAAGAAACTTTATCTGTGATCATCAACTCTCAAATCAGAAGTAGTTATAAATGTTTGGCCATTCATATGATCATTCTATTTGTACTTTTTTCCATTTTGTTTAAGGTGGTGATATAAGTTCCCTTCATGAATGCTTCTGTCACCACCCTAGCCTCCTCCACTCCAGTTGTTGTGTTGATATTTACAAGCCTTGGAGCCATGAGTCTTTGATAAGTATTGCCAGTCAGTGTCTGAACAGGAAGACCTTGAGTATGAAATCTAGAAAGGTAGTGCATTACTTAATCTATATTGACAATAACACCCTATGATATATATTTTTGGTGATCCGCAGCATTTGTGGATCACCTCTTGTTATTGTCAGAGATCTTTTTTTTTATTCTACTTTCTGGCAATTATTTGTTCGCACGATATCTCAAATTTGCCGAGAGCTACGCACAAGGTCGCTTCATTAAACATTTTGACTTTGCCTGGAATAGTTACGGTAAGGTTTTCAACACGCTCAGTCATGCGTGACGTCATCTACGCGCAATTTTGCGATTTTACATCGACCATATCAGCCTAACCAATTGACATTTCAAAATCGTATTAAGTGAGCATTAACTTCCGTTTAATATTGAATACAATGTACCCTAATTTTAAGTGTGCGCGTCATAACGCGCACGTACACGTGCTTCAAAATTTTAAAATGCTCGAAATCACTTTTTGACTAAATTAGAGCACGTTTCATGCCATTTTGAGCATTTCAATTTTTTTTTGTAATTTTTTCACTGCGCGCGCACAATTTGCTAGAAATGACGTTTTTTTTACATATTTTGGGTTACTGAAATTGTTTTCACAAATTTCAATTGTTTTTGGTCATCTTATGACCAATAGCAATGTCGCACGTGTGCATCAAACATAATGACCTTTGCGCGGATTTGTGCCGATATACAGTGAAAATATGCTAAAAATCAGGCCTATTTTTAATCAGTTATAACTCCTTAGGATGAAAGGTGACCCCAATTTTTATTACATATTCTGAAAGCACATGAGTTGTAAATATGATTTTATAGATCATAATGGCTGATCGGACATTGTGACGTCATCATTTTGCCATCTGAATTCACCAAACTGAATTTTAGGGATGCCGTCATTTTTAAAAATGCGCATTTGAACGTATCTCGCTTATTCTTGGTCGATCTTCCAACTTTGAGTATGTTATAGCTGAGGGGATTCTCTTTCGTTATTTGACTTCTTTTTACATTTTGATGACGTCATCATGGTAAAAATAAAGGTTTTTGATGACCCCCTCAACTTTCTTTCCTCAAACATTTAATTACCCCATAATCACCTTAACTAGTCGTGATTTCTGAATAATATTTAATGGGCATAAACTTCAGGTCATGGTTAAATGTTATGTACCTTAATTTCCTGTGCGCACGTCACAACGCGCACGTACACATGCGTCAAAATTAAAATGTGCTTAATATCATGCCATTTTTCAATCAGTTATAGCTCCTTAGGATGAAAAGTGACCCCCATTTTTTATTACATATTCTAAAAGCACATGAGTTGTAGATATGATTTAATATATCATAATAGCTGATTGGACATTGTGATGTCACCATATTGCCATCTGAAATCAAAAAACTGAATTTTTATATATGATAAATACTATGAATGAATACTCACCAACAGGCGTTTGTCAATGAAAGTTGATATATATATCTCATATCAGGAGACAACAGTGACATTAAGATGCGCATGTGGGTCATGACGTGCGCATACGCATGAGTAAATCTTTTAAAATGCTCCAAATTCTTTTTTGACAAACTAAATTAGCGTATTTTGCCATTATCAGCATTTAAATATTGTTCAATCCGCACCGCGCACACTTCCTTGTGGGTCAAAGTGCGGCTGATCACCTAACTCGTCCACAGTGACGAGTTCAAATCTAGTACTGATTTGTTCTGTTGTTTCTTATATTTATGTACTGTATTTTATTATTTTATTTACATAATTCCTTGCATAAAAATGTGATCATTGGGTTGGAGAATGAAGTTATTTATGGTTAAAAAAATGTATTTGTTTGGTACAATTTGTCATCTATAATTTTACCCATAAATGCTAGGCGTACATGGTGCCATGGAGCTGTAAGAATGTCCAAGCTGAGATGAACTGCATAAGTCATGCCATGGCCTGTATTCATAGGACTTCTATCAACGCAATCGATAGACACTTTCACAAAAGCAACAGATTCTATTCACCTCTTACCTTCATAGAGTTCATTGACCTCTTCAAAACAATTTCAGCAAGGCTTGGTAAAAAATATACTGTGAGTAAAGGGTTTTTTTCTCTGTTGGTTATGTATGCTCTCCTAAATAATAAATTGATGAAGCCTACAATTTTTTGTATTGCTATTTATTTCAAGGTTCTTTTATTATAATTTGTTTGTTTTTATCAAGTCATATCATCATTACTGTCTTTAATGATATCTTGTATTTTCATGATTATCATTTTATCCACTGTTATCATCACCAATCCTATCTTCATTAGCAAAACATCCATTAACATTGTCATCGTTTTCAGCAACTGTCTTTACAAAAGTCTTTAAGCTTCACAACCAGAAACTTAAGTTGTCTACCTAACCTTACTCTATGAATTATTATATCAACAGAATGCCATTATCAAATACAAGAAAGCATTAGGAAGTATAAATGAGGCGTATGAGAGCATCAGTAGCTTGAATATTGAACTCCAAAGACTGCAGCCTCTCCATGCTGATGCCATGCTAGTCTCTCAACAACGACTAACGGAAGTTGACAAGCTCAAGAATGAATATGCTGATGTAAGAATTATTTCAATAGTAGTAGTAGTGGAGGTTGTGGCAGTTACAGTGACAGTAGTGGTAGAAACAACAGTAGTGGTAGTACAAAACCGCAGTGACTGCTACTAGTGGTAGTAGGAACCACAGTTGTGGTAGTAACAGCAAGAGTAGGGGTATTAGAAGCCATAGCAGCAATAGTGATGGTAGCAGTAGCAACAGAAATAATGGTAGCAATATTTAAATTGTAGTATCAGAGTACCTAATAATGAGAGATGTGCTTACTAGTAGATATAGCAACAGTATCAGCATTATTCATTGAATAAATTTTTGTTTGGACATTGATTTTATTTTGTTTTAACTAACTCCTTTCATAGGCCAAGGAGCAATGCAGACTTGATGAGATTGCCATCCTGAAGATGGAAGGACCTCTTGAACAAATGAAAAAAGAGGCACAAGATGAACTGGATAAGGTATTAATATCAATTTAAGTATACAAGGTGGTGTGCGATTTAAAAATATTGATTTCTATCCCATTGATTAAATTTTAGATTGATTGAGTTATCGATTGATTCAATGATCGATTAATTGATTGATTGTTAATTGAAAGAAATGTTCACCTCACCATTGCCTGCCTATCATCTATTAACACTTAAACATATATTGTGGGGCTAAAAGATAAGATCCTGAAAAACATAATTGAATATATAATTTGCTTACTTTGTTATAAAAGAGCATTAGAATGTTTAATTGAGTTTTTGATTAAATATCATTAATAAATCAATGTATTGGGAAGGGTAGTATTTTATGAAAACTTTGTTGTATTGTTTTCATTAGGTTAACCCAATATATGAAGCGGCCCTGAAGGCTTTAAAGAGCCTCAACTCACATGATCTTGACGAGATTCGATCCTACAGAGCTCCTCCAGTGGCTGTCGTCAATGTTGTTAGCGCCCTTTGTCTACTCTTCCAGGAGCCTTATGAGTAAGTTTTAATTTTCAGTGTAACATAATGTAATTCATTAGTTAAAATGATCCACAAACACATAGCTGTCGTAACAAAGATAGTTTTAGTCATAACTATAAATGTCACGTCTGTTTCTACCATTTTTATTCATATTTAAAATATTTTTTTCTAAAGTATTTTGAGTTATTTGCTTCAATACACATACTGTAGTATGTGCACAAAAACTAAAATATAAACGCATTAAAACTTTGTTCTCATCCAAAATTGTCAGTACCTGAAAATGGAATACAGGAAAAAAAATACATTAATGAATTATTAATTAAATATTATGATGTAATTTACGTATTATAGTTGGGCAAGTGGCAAGCTTCTGATAAACCGTGACAACTTCTTTGAAGATCTTGAATTCTATGAGAAAGATAGAATGCCAGATGATGTGTTCTATAAATTGAACATCATGTTTATTCAGGACACGTCTTTTAGGCCTGAAGTTGTGGCAGTGGTTAGTAAGGCTGCTGAGTCCCTGTGTAAGTGGGTACATGCTGTTTATGCATATGCCTGCCTTCACCGTGCCTTACATCCTAAGTTGAAACAAGTTCAGATAGCAGAGGCTAAGCTTGATCAGGTTTGTACATTTAAGATGCAACCTTATTATATTTATTATTCAAATTATTTATTTACCTGTATCAAGTCTTGTAATGTAACACATTATATTATTTCCCAGAACACTTGCGTACATGATAGGAGCTTAACTTATACTTAATATTACTTTAATAAATTGTGTTTACATTTAATGTAGTCATTCTTCAAACAATTGAACTAAATGGTCACATTGTAGCATTTACACTTCTAATTTCAGGCAAAAGCTCACCTTGGGCTGAAAAGGGTTAAATGTCAGGAGGTAAAGGTCATTCTTGAGGAACAGATACAGATTTATCAGGACAGTGTGAAAAGCGTTAATGATATTGAAGTGTCCATGAAGGTATATTTGCAATTACAAATATTTTTTACTATGGTCATGCTTAATATTTTTTATGTATATGTATCTGTCATGTAGTTTTCCAAAAACAAATCTTTCATTTGGATTTTCTTTTAAACTAGAGTACAGAGGAAAAGATCAACAGTGCTACACATTTAATGATAAACATGTCGATGCAGCATGCAACATGGAAAAGCGCCCTCGCTCAGTCTGAAAAGCACTTAGCAACAGCTCCGGGAGATGCACTACTTGCAGCGGCATGCGTCTGCTACCACGGTCCAATGGATCAGCTTACGAGAGAAGAAATGATCACGGATTGGCTGTTGAGATGTAAAACTGGACGTTATCATCCCAAACAGACAACCCAGGAAAAATCTGGCCAAGAAACATCAGTTACTGAACAGGTGAGCTTAAAATATTCTTATAATTAACAGTACTTACTATCATTATCATCATAATTTGTTTAATTATTATCAGAATCATTGTATTAATCATTAAAGTTTTTATTGTTGCTACTGTTGCTGTTGCTACTGTTACAGTTGTTACAGTGAAGACAGGAGATTTCACCATCAAATGAAGGAAAGCCTTTGCTTAGCATGGGAACATACAGAATTTCAAGATGTACAGTATTAGCATAGTATTATTATTATTATTATTTTATTTGTTTCGTCTACTAGATTACTCAAGCTAACAACGTATGTGATAGAAAGCATATAGAGTCAACAGTAAGTGCATATCATTAATACTTGTATAATATTTTGTACGCAACTAATAAAATTGTATATCTTTCAGTGTTGAATAGAAAATATTTTCGTCAACTTTTTGCAATGTATCAATTTTTTTTTTTTTAATGGATGACCCTAAACCCTTTCAGGCTTATTACACTAGAAATAGAAATACAATGAAATAAGATTTTAAATTAAATTTTCAAATATTAAAAAAACATTCTTTTACACTGTAATTTGTATTCACTTAGTGTCAACATTTATTTGATATTGAACTATTTACCTCAACAATGCTATTGTTTGTTTTCAAGGTAAGTGGAAGGGAAACAGCTGATGGCTTTACAAGTATATCTGGGGACGACATGTCCTTACCTCCTTTTCTCTCAAGAGAAAGTACAGATGAGAGTTTTAGCCATGGAAGCAGTCAAAGCCGGGCTACCATACTCCAGCCATGTCATATCCGTGAGAACTTTTCTCTAGATGGTAATGCTTTAAAAAAATTATTGATGTATTAATTTTCTTTTTTATTATTTTGATTTGATTAGAAAGAAAAGAAAAAGAAAAGCTAGTGATGGGAGTGAGTCAATGTGTGACAGTATTTGTAATGGCTTACCCAAAAATGTTGTCACATTCAGTGAAAAATTAACCTTGTTTTAATTTTTTGAATACTTTTGATGGTGGTGCCAGCATCAATAATGATACAAACATCATCATCAAGTAACTGTTATAATTTATATTTTTTAATTATACTGTACATGTCTCCCTCCAATTAAAGACAATTTTTGGAACCTGGGTTTTCATGGTCTTTAGCTTTGGTCTCTAATTAGAATAATAAAGATAAAAGACAAGAAAAGTGGAGGTGGTCTTTAATTGGAGAGCTCTTTAATTAAAAGGAAACCTGTAGTCTATGTCTGTACGCAGCAGGATGGGGCCAGTAGGTGGCTGTACGTACACAATCAGGGGCGGATCCAATAGGGTGTATGGGAGACACGGGGAAAAGTGCCTCCCCATTTTGATATTAAATTTGTAAAATTTCAATGCATATCAGTGCTATGTGTTACTCACTTATCTATTCTGAAACTGTTGTTCCCCTCCCCCCCTCCCCGTTTAAAAATTAATGGATCCGGCCCAGCTCAATAACTTGTGATCATATTCATAACATATGTACGAAATCATCAGACCTGCGAGGTATAGACAGTGTCCTTGGCGTCTGGGAGAATTTAATGATGGGGAGAGGGGAGGGGGGTGTTGGTTAGCCATTCCTCCCTTAAAATATGTTTTGCTTCCTAGTAGGCCTATACCGTACTCATCTATACTCCTGTAGAGAGAGATGGAGAGAGAGAGAGAGAGAGAGAGGGTCTACATCTGTCTCTTATACACATCTTGAGTCAATGAAACAAGTTCGCACTATTATGTAATCGTGCGTGACCTGTCTCTTATACACATCTAGATGTGTATAAGAGACAGCTATTGATGATGATAATAATGATGAATGACATTACGATGATCAGAAAGGTCCATTAGATGCAGAATTGTACTACTTTTAAAAAAATCTCTTAAATAATAAAAAAAAAATCGTATTTCAAATTATATTCCTTAGCAATCTTGAGCGATCAAGAAGAGCAGAGAAGCTGGCAAAATCAGGAAATCCCGCAAGACAAGTACGCTTTCCACAACCTCCTCATCATGCGCACCTGTTGCCAGTGGGGAAGGCGGCATTGGCCATTGCTTTTGGATCCCGACCAGCAAGTGGAGACCTGGGTTCAGTTGATAAATAACTCAAGCAAAAAAGTGCTACAAGATAACGATGAAGAAGGTAGGCAATGCATTAAACTTATTTCCTTTCAGCCTATACCGGAATGCCTCCTCCATCTGCTGTATCTCTGCCATCTGGTGCTGTTTTTCCGGTTTCCCATGATGTACAACCCTTCCTTACTTCTCTCCTTTCCTATCATTCGTTTCCATGTTGTTTTGGTCTTTCTCATTTTCTTTGACTTCCAGTATCCATGTCAGTATTATGTTGCAGTTTATTCATTTTGTCTAATTGACTCAACATATGCTCCATCCATTTCCACAATCTATTCTGATTTCTTCACTTACAGTAATTGTTTCATGTTTGCTCTTTTCATCACTTCTTTGGTTGTCACTCTCTCCTACCATCTGATCTTTAGTATCCATCCTTAGTATCCATTTTTTGCCTAATATTTTTTTTAATAATTCTGCATACATAGATGCATTATTTGAGGAGAGTGTGACACCAGTTCTGACATCCAAAGCTCTTGAAGCTCTTGAGCAAGTCTCAGAGTACAGCACAGGCCAATCCACAGGCTTTTTGGAATCCTCCATTGGGGAAACGACAGAAACAGAATACCCTCAGACACCTGCAACAGGGATGAGGTAAGAGGCATGTGATCATGCAAAACCTGCTGTCCTAGTAAGATAAAAGTTGCCTAATTAATTGTAATGCCTTATTGTAGATTATTTATGTGTTTAGTGGGTTTGTGATGTTGTTTTGTAATGTTTTCCCCTTTTGTTAAACTTCAATTTTGAATGAGAGATTGCAATAAAGTTTTTCGTATTTTGTATAAATGATTTCTTTTTTGTCTTAAGCACAATAAGATGCTAATGATGTGGAATGTCCTAACATGCTACATTAAACTAATATAGATGTACAATGTATAAGAAGTAGCAAGTTAAGAAGGACCATATATAACTTACTATTACATTTATTTTTTAATTGTCATTATTATTTTCAATTATTGTTATTATTAGTTATTATTAAATATTTGCAATGGATTTTAGATATTTCGAATAGCTAGAAATTCTGTTTTAATTCAGTGTTGTATCATTTAATTTTGAAACTAGTATTGGTGGTGATACACCCCGCCATCCAAACTATGATGGAAGTGATGGGGTTTTAGAAACAACCAGCTTCACGGACCAGTCAGAGCCTTCGAGTGTTCTACTTCTTGATCCTGATATGGAGCGCCCTCAAGGTGACATATGGATCATCTCTAGTGACGATTCATCTGTTGAAATGAAACTGATTCAAAGTGTTGTACTCGGTTTGACAATGCTCATCAAGAATCTTGAGCGAAAGCCTCTGGACCCACGCTTTGATAATGTAATGAAGAGGAACTTTGTGCTGGGCTTAGATGGAAAGAGGAGGCTGAAAATTGGTTCTCTGGAGTATGTCTGCCATCCTAGTTTCAACCTTTACCTTAGCTCGTCAGTACCATTGCATCTCAAAGGTTAGCTAAAGCCTCAGATACATCCTATTTTATTGTATTTATAATTTTATATATACAGTAGTCTGATTGGTGTGGTGGTTAAGATGCTCTTTGTCATATGAAAATAAATAAGCAATAAAAATGCTTATTTTTTAAATAATATCTGTCATTAAGCAAGGACAATTTTTTTGTTCTAATCTTCAGTTAAAAGCTATTATTTTATTTAAATATACTATTAAACTATTCATTTGTATATAGGAGCTAACATCTTCCCACAGCCTACCGAGCTTACCTCAGTGATAAACTTAGCCATTAGCCCAGAAGGTTTATCTAATCAAATTCTGGAGATTGCCATTTCGTTTGAGCGTCCAGAATATGACAACCAAGTTAAGACTTTAGAGGGCGACATTCGTGATCAAAAATTGTTCATGGAAAAAGTTGAGGTAAAGTGCTTGCTATTTTTCAAATTCTAAACTCTCAAATAAAAGTAGTTTTTGCTTCAAACAGTACCAACATGTACTGTGTTTAGTACTGTGCTTGCCTGTGCCTTAATGTAGTCTAACAATGAAAAAACATTTTAATTGCATTACAATTGCTAAATAATTTACAGTTTCTCAGTATAGGGAACAGATTACTAAATATATATTTATTCTCCCCAGATGGATATTCTCATGAACACCATTAACCTTGAGGTAGGCATACTTGAGGAGTCTACAATGCTCGATCAACTACTGAAGTACCAACAGAACATCCAGAGCACAGAGGCTAGTCTCCATGAGAGTCTGCTCTACTTAGATCAGATAAAGAGCAAAACTAAAGACTACAAAGCTGTTTCTGAACACGCAACTCTTCTTTATCAAGTCGTGGACTCCATGTCTCAACTGAATCCACTATATTATCAGTCACTTGGTAGTTTTGTCCACCTCTGCAGGTCAGTCATCAAAGGCCATAGAAAGGAATCTGGCATTCTTCTAGACCCAAAGGCACGTGCCACAGAATTGGTGAACGCCCTCACACACGAGGTGCATGAACATATTTCACACGGTGTCTCCGAACTGCACTCGGATATCTTCATCTTCCTGGTTTCCGTAGCAAAATTGAAATCATGCAATGAAGTGTCGGAGATTGAATGGAGCTTGTTCTTAAATGAAGAAGCTGTCTTTGTGACAGAGGTGCCAGAGGCAGATAATAAACCATCATGGATACCCAAAACGGTAATTGAACCAACAGAACAAACCTAATCATCATAGAAGGCTTTATTTGGTAGTTAGGCACAAGTCTTTGGACGTGGTGTTGACTCCCTGTTAATTATAATGTTTTTGTTTATCTTAAGTTTGCTTATTTGTCATCATTGTGTCCATGCTTTTTTTTTTTTTTTTTTTGCAAGGAGGGTACCTCAAGCATCTCTACAGCAGATATTCCTTTATTTTATATTTCTATAAACCTAGTGTCAGAAGTTTTGATTTCAACATCATCAATTGAATTGAATCATCATCATTATTATTTTATTATTATTATCATTATTATTATCATTGTTATAAATGTTTATAGAATTATTTTATATGTAAAATAAAATCTACATTCCTCATTTTCTCTCCAGGCATGGACCTCTTGCAGCCGACTTGAGAAGTTTGTGCCATGTTTTCAAGGCCTAACTAGCTCCTTCACTAACCAATCCAGACAGTGGTACGAGTACTTTGCTGTAAGTTTTACTGTATTTTTAAAGCTTCATGCAAAATTTTAGTTGATATGAAACTGAATTAATCTTTAGTATTAAACAATGAAATATTTTTTAATTTATTAAAATATAACCCTGGTTAGTTTTAGGCTACATTTTATTCAATGTTTACCAACTAATTTTATTTTTATTGTCATTGTAGGATATTATATTATAATACTATAATAAATATAAAAATTATTTTTATTGACAGTGCGAACCCAATCTTCTTTCAATTGTGCCAGGAGAAATTGAGGACAGAAGTTTAACAGCTTTCCAAAAGATTCTGTTGTGGAAAGTGATGAAGCCAGATGTGGTATGTATACACATGTCTTCTACCTGTGTATATCTACATAACATTCAATTTCAATATATTTATTTCACTTGTTCAAAGTATATACTGTACATACAAAACAATGTAATGGTTGTAAGAAATAACATTACACAAGTGATTCAATTACTGACCAATAAGATAAGCCATTAAAGTCCATACTCAAGCTGATGCCACACCTTTATATGAGGAACTCACACACTCGGGTATTTGTCACATAAAACTTTATCCATAGCCCCATAATTTGCATGACCTAAGAAGGTGAATAAGAAATTGTAATAATACAAAACAATCTTGATACACAATACTGCAGCTGACGCCACCCCTGATCTCTACAAATTATGTGTAAGAAATTTTAAGATTAACTAGATACTGACGGTATTGTATTTTTGTATTCAATGGTTTTCTTAGACCCGACAGCTATGCCATTGCCTGGCTGTGCATCAGCTTGCTTCAACAATTGCAAAGACTACTGGTTATCACATAGGTGATGTTCTTCCACAAACTTCAAGTAACAAGCCAACCATCTTTATCTTACCATCACCTTATGGTGCATATCCCGACTCAGCAAATTCAGGTAAATTACTTATTTTTTTAAAAAAACTACTTATTAAAATAATTTACATTAAAAATATTTTTAATGTAAGTTATTTTAATAAGTAGTTTTTATATTTTAAGACGATTTTGTACTGTTTTATGGATGTTTTT